GCTCTGACAAGTAAAGCTAAAACATCAGACATCCTTGAATGAAAAACATCAACTTAACACATGCCAACTGAAAATAGAGATGCATGTTCATATGCACTTAATTAATTCTGGCCAGGTTTTGCTCTTTTCTAGAATTTAGAATATTGATATTTGACAAACAATTACTAGCAAAGTGATTGAAAGCAAAAACTTGAAAAGAGAACATGTGAAACCTTAAGGTGACAGGTGCCTTTATTTGACAAATCTGCATGTCAGACATCTTTCACATTCCTAAAGAATGGCAAACTAGCAGAGATTTGAGTCAAATTGGTGGTGTACATTTAACATGTCTGAACTAATATTGCATGACTGTCACCTTCTACAATCAGTCAGTATTAGCTAAGCCTTGTAAACATGACGTTTGTAAGGACATGCAGGTCAATCCATCAATCAAACAATGACCTTCACCTTGCTGACGTACATTTACTTCCTGTTTTACAATATTTGGGGTGCGCAATGACGTATTGACAAACTTAATCCTTGTTCAATCAAAGATGTTTGTCGTCAAACACATCCCATCTGTTTGGCTGAACCTGTCTTATTGATTAGATACTATTATCAAATAGGAATTGATGAAATCACATGATGTGATGGGTTTCTTTAAAAATTATTAGTTTTGTTTAAGTACAGGATTAGTGAACATAGACAACTTGCAACACCAGAATTTGAAACATAAAACTGGTCTATCATGTTAATAACTAGTGTCATGAAATGTGAATCGCTCTTTGAATGATGTCACTCAGACAAGTGCTGTACATCCTGATACAAAAATAGGTTTCTTTTGAGTGCATTTTTTAAGCAAGTGAAAACTTATTCTTTGTAATAAATTGCCTCAACACATTACCATATCATCATGCAGAATCTTGAAAATTAATGTTTTTCTAATTTCAAAGTGAAAGCCATTTCTGAGATTCACATAGCTCATGTAAATAGCATGTAATATGATCTTTTCTTCAATCTAAATTTTGCAATTCTGCCAAAAGGAATTGTCTTGCAGTTAACAAAGGGTGTTAAATGAAATACACTGAACACATAGTGAAATCAGTCGTAGATCCTTTGTTGTGATAATAAACATTTTATTTTAATATTTGTTGATTGTTTTGTAATGCTATGCTCAGCAGTATTACAGCTGTATGACAGTGATCTGTTAATAACTAAAGTTGAACAAGGCAATCCCGTGATTGACACCAGAGCATCAATCCATGCAGTTATGAAACAATGACTTGAATATCAAGTTAGTCAATACATCTGACAACTCAATCCATTTTGTTGTATCACAGGTCAAGCATAGGTTACTGGGGTTTTACATTCTCACCTGGAATGCCTATTTAGTTGTATATCTGAAGACTGTTCAGGTATATAATAGTGAGTGAGTTTGGATTATTGTTGCTTTGAACAATATATAAATTATCTCAAAGTGTATCAGCTTATTGTGGTACAAAAGCCAGAGATAATGCATGAAACCCCTGAGTATGGATGTGGTGTTGATAAACTTAAAAGCATCATTGCAGTGAACCAGGATTCAAACCACTGACTGACTTAGGTTTTACGCAGCTTGTAGCAATATTCCAGCAACATCACGGTGGGGGACACCAGAAATGGGCTTCACACATTGTACCCATGTGGGGATTCGAACCCGGGTCTTTGAGGTGACGAGCCAATGCTTTAACCACCAGGCTACCCCACCGCCCAGGATTCAAACCAAGTATCATAGGTTCCAGGTGCACCCAAGGGATGCAATTCTGCACAGTGAATTGTGGCTCTTCAGACAACTGGGCCACCTGTGTCCCCAGTTATATAATACTGACTGACTGAGTTCGGTTTTGCGCCGCTTTTAGCAATATTCCAGCAACATCACGGCAGGGGACACCAGAAATGGGCTTCACACATTCAGGTATATAATAGACTAACGCGATACCTTCTAGTTTATCATACATGGAGATGTCCTAAGTTGGATTTTAAGCATTGACTGGAGTAACAAAATGTGCATGACAAACGAACACACTAACCCAACCAACAAGCGTAACTAAGTAACCTAAATATCTTAACTTAACACAAACAGGAAACAGAGACAGGTAATATGCTACTGGACAATATCAACTGACATCCTCTGTGGGATCAAGCCTGAATATAGGATTACACTTATTACCAAAGCAAAATAAACACTGTTTTCCATCTTTAAGAACATGTTATGAGGCTGGTGCAGAAAAACCATGACATGCCTTTTAAGACCATGACATGCCTTTTTGAACAAGTAAGCAAATGAATGCTTCACTAGCAGTCATATTTTGTAAATCCTAAGTGAGCAAGGAACCAACCATCTTTTCAGATGAATAAGTAATAGCGTGTGCCACTTTCAGCAATGTTCCCACCATGTCATGGCAGGGTATATCAAGACTAAGTTTTGTCTGAGAAAACTCAAGGAAATTCTGTTTAGTCTTAAATCAGGTATTAATATTCCATACAACAGTACTCATATCTGAAAATTAGGGGTGTCACGATACACCAATCTCACGATCACGATCACGTATCGCGATACATAATTTTCACGCCTTTTCATAGCATTACCTTACCGGCAACGTACGCACTCACTGATTGGTCCATCAAAATAGTCTAGCCAATCACAAAAGCTGTTAGTTTCCAACCTATTTTTTAAGTAAAGCTAGCTACATCTATTTATCGGAGCGGCCTCGTATAATTTTACTATCAAGACTTTGAAGGAGATGGATATAGCATAAAAATTTGAATCGATAAAATTTTAAAATAGGAATCGATTCACCCCTACTGAAAATATAGCTTTTAAGTCAAATTTGGGTAGACTCAAAGGTTTCCCCTTTACTGCTACCCTTCTGGTAACTAAACCTTGTTCTTCAGGAGGAGTGAACAGGTTTATCCTAAGGCAACCCAACCATCTTCTTCCCACTTTGAGGAGATATTTAGATAGCATTTCCTCTTACTGTAACTGTATCCAGTAACCAGTTAGAAACACATATTTCAGGCAATGTGGGTACTGCAATACCACAGCAAAGAGTCACTTTTTGTGAAATGTGTATCAAAACTGCTACTGTATGATGACAGAATATCTCAGGTCCTGCAGAGTGAAGTTAAACCTTGGCAGATCATAAGCTATTCTGAAGGTTTGACTTCCTGGTTTCAGTCCCATGAAAAGGAGAACAGTTACTTCTTGCTTGAAAATTTCTCAAAGGAATAACTAGCAAATGAGAGTTTCATGAGCCACACAAACAACCTGCTTGAATGGAAACTTATTTATAACATGTATGATGGTTTGGGGCATCAATCATTAATTAGTTGTTACTCAAACGTTAAATCCTTTGTTTTATAGTATTTGAACAAATAAGTGATCTGTGTCAAAATGAAAACGTTAAAAACTTAGAACAAATACTAAGTACAATGGAAAGTCATTATGACCTTCAGTATCAACAATTAGACAATTCAATTTAAAACCGCATAAGAGTTTGTACTCACAACTTTTGACACAACTAAAATATATCGAGATGCATAAATTGCAGTTGGACTAGTGATGCGTAAACAAAACTAGTGATGCATGAAAATACACATCACCTAAGAGTGGTTAATCAATTAACACTGAGGTTGTTGATAAGTGTCAATAAACATGGATCATTAGCATGAAAACAGTGTTGGTAATTACTGTTATGATTTCTGAACTTGTAGGAGATGAGAACTTGTCAAAGATAGATGGAAAATATCCCCCCAAAAGACCTGCACCTGTCTAATTCAAGGTCCAGTTGCAAATACAAATATGTCTAAATATATGATTATGTAAGACTATAGTTATAAGGAGATTCAGTAGCAGCAACTGTTAGCAAGTGTTACCTTGATTGAGACAAAAAATTGAAATAATTTTGCATCATATTATGGAAAAGTACATGTATGATTAAACAAATCTGGTTATAAGTACATTTCTATCAATCTTTATTGCAACTATTGCCCTTAATTGTTGAACATAGATGGGTATTTCCAACTCTATCCCATTCATTAATTTGGCCTTTAGTCAACATGTATGCCATCCAGTTGTTTGTTTTCTACCTGCTTATAATAAACATGTTTATATCAGCTGTTCCTAGCCATATATTCATTTTTTTTCATTAGCTATTGTGTTGACTAAAGCAATAACATTTATATAACTATTCTAATGTATGTTCCTTGGAGAGTTGTTACACAGCCTATCGTCAGCCAATATGGCCAAATCTAGACATATGATCTACCAGTTTACTCTTATTTCAAGAGTCTAGTTCGATTAACCATTCAATATGTTGTCGCTGTTATGTTTCAACTACTTATTAATATTCTTAAACAACAGTTCCAATACACGTGTGGATCCTAACTACAACGTTCATAAGATCTCCCACAAGCTCGCTTCAAAGCATTAGCATTTGAATGATATACACAGTATTTGAAAGGAAACTTCGTAAAGCAACCCGTCCTTTTGATAAAGCGTATTCTAACCCGTATCAATGAACTTTATAATCTCATATCTGGGTGCGGTTTAAGCAATGCAGTCAACTTACCTCATGTTTTTTGTTGTTGTTTTGTTCTGCAGAGAATAATGTGGGATTAACTCGGCAGGTATTTTCTTCCTTTATGATAAGAATGTCTAGGAGGAACTAGTCGAGAATGTTTGTAAATCACCCCCTAACATATGATAACTAAACAAGGCTACCGAGATTTAAAACTAGTTCCAAATTTTGACGTTCTGTCCAACTGTCAATTGGTCACTGCGACAAATCCACTTCCTTCCCAGACGCCATGATATCTGAGTCCGTATCACTTCAATGATATCAATTATGCGATATATAACAATTGTTGCATTATAAATGACTAATATGTATATTAGGCGTATAATAAAAATTAAATCATACCAAAACACTACTGAAAATATTATTTGTATAGCGTATTAAATTCGGTCCTTGAGACCGGAAGTCAACGCGAGATAAGGTGCGCGTGGAAGCTGAACTGAGTTGTCCATCTGCTAGAAACAGAAGTTAACATCATTTGGATCTCATCACAGCAAGTTTGACTGAATATGACTTATTTCAATACGTGGGAAGAATTTGCGAAAGCAACTGAGAGATTATATATCAACGATCCATCTAGGGTGAGATGCAGTTTTGAGAAATAATAGGATAATAGTTTAAAAGGTGTGTAGTTAGTTGTCAGAATCGTTTAGAAAATTTTAGATGGCGTGGAAATGAGGAATAAACCAGGATCCTCACCCTCACATCATCTCTTGCAATGGCACAACCTTGACAGGACTTATACAGAGTTAAGAAGGACGGACACGCGAGTTAGCATGGAATAATTAAAGTTGATGCCATAGCTTGTATCGAATGAAGAATGGTGTTAAAAGGTGTAAACATATGTTCTAGGAAAAACACACATAATATGGTGTACAATGGCTTGTTGGTTATGTTAGTTAACTTAGTGTTTGCTAATTGTGCTGCCTGTCCAGGTTATATTCCCTACACAATCACTATGTGAGAAGACTGTTCTCGGTGACCAGCTGTGATAAAAGTGATGTAAAACTGTATTAAATATACTGATGCTTTTATAGTGAAAATGTTAGCTTTGTCAACAGGCAAGGTTACTTGACAGAGTGTTTCACTGTGTTATGTTCTTAAGTAATGATCTTTGAATGATATTTTAAACAAACTGTTGTTTAAAACATCCCATTATCAATGATTATGTGACTCAAGATATGCCTCAATAATTAAACCCTTAACTTGATTCCCTACATTGGTACAATGTGTGAAGCCCAATGCTGGTGTTCCCCATCATTATCATGTCCATGTTGTTCATGGAACGGACGGACGGAGCCTAATACTATATCCCCCGCCACGCGTTTAGCGTGAAGCGGGGGATATAGTATAAGGCTCCCTCGGTCCGTACAAATTGGAATATCTTAAGAACCGTGACTAGATTCTAGTCATATTTGGTACCTAGGTTCATCACAGTATAAGAAAGGTCCCAGTCAGGTTTGGTGACCTTGACCTTCATTCCAAGGTCACAAGGGGACTTTAACGCTTTACTCTTGTCAGCGTGATATCTCAAGAACCATTAACTAGATTTTCTTCATATTCAACACCAAGCTTTATCTAGGGAAGGCGCAGGGCCCAGGTGAATTTTGGTGACCTTCACATAATTTTCAAGGTCATGGCAACACTTTGAAAATTTCAGCATATTAACCTGCATGTTATGCTTGTCAGCGAGATACCTCGAGAACCAGTCACTGGATTTTCTCCATATTTGACACCAAGCTTCATCCAGGGAAGGCGCAGGGCCCAGTCGATTTTGGTGACCTTCACTTAATTTTCAAGGTCACTTCGACACTTTGAAGATTTCAGCATGTTAACCTGAATTCACTGGATTGTCTTCATAGACTTTCAAGACTTTCCTTGAATGTTTTTCAATAAGCAATTTCTTTAGTACCATTTTTGCATAGTTCATACACTATGACATTCATGTCAAGGTCAAAGTCAGTCTTGAAAATGTTAATGTGTTTGAACAACTAAAGAGCAAGATATCAAGAGAGGTTGACTGGTCATATTTTTCTTGACATTTAACTTCATCTTAAACTTTCATTACTTTCTAAGTTTGATTTGATAATTTGTGGCGGGGGATTATGTCACCTTAGTGACAATGCTTGTTTACAGTAAGCAAATTCATTTTACATGAACATTCATAGAAATCATGCAATGCTACTCAAGTAACTTAAGCACATACAAGCTTATAAATATATCCATTTGAACCCTCTTTAACCTGTATTCCTTTGTAGGAATCCTTGCTCACATTCTCTCAAATGTAGCTGTGTCTGTCCAGGTCTCAGATATTTACAGGCTTAAATTGACAGCCACAGCTGGAATGGTAATGTACTGACTTAGGCACTACATGGACTCACTCTTTTACTTAGCAAGTGTCAAGATATTTGATAGTGATCAAGGGCAATAGTCATGATGAGTGTTTGGAATAGAAACTTCTGTGTAATTATAATTGATTATAAATTTCTTAGTGGGATCGTCATACATTTAGCACAAGCAGATGGTGGATAGTTGGGTAACTTGAACAGGTGAAAATAGTCAGATCAACACTGACCACTTCTCGTTATAATAGGGGCACTAGGTGTGCTTGGTGATTAGAGCATTCGCTTGTCATTACAAAGGCCAGGGTTGGATTCCCCACATGGATACAATGTGTAAAGCCAATTTGTGGTTACCCCTGTCATGAAGTTGACGGAATATTGCTAAAAGTGGCAAAAAAAACCCAACTCACTCACTCTCTTTAGAATAATGTACTATTATTAATAACCCAATATTATCTGTTTTTCTGAAAATTCATGTATTTCTGATTTCAGTGTCGATTTGTCATAAAGTATCGTCACAGTGAAGGAAAACTGGTCTTGAAAATGACAGATGATAGAGTGGTAAGTGTAATGGCATGATAACCGTTTCTTGACTGTGTCTTTTTGAGTAGTCTGTTGTTTTATTCTATGGTTTATGGATCCAACAACCCTAGAAATGAACAAAGTAGAAAAATATACTTTTCAATTTAGATAATTCTATTGTTACTTCTGAATCTGAAAACCACATCATAATAATAACATTTACAATATTGTTCCATGTCTTTCCCAACAAATACAGGAAGTGTAACAAAATTGTGTAACTGCCAGAATTCAAAATGAGGCTTCCTAAGCTATGCATATTGCTAGTATGTCTATTTGCAAACGAAACTGTAATATGAATTGCTGTAAGGAGCTCATTTTGCTGTACGGAGCTTGACTTGAGTAGACTCGTGAAGGTCTGGGTTAGAATGAACCTTCAGTAACCCATGTTTGTCGTAAGAGGCGACTAACGGGATTGGGTGGTCAGGCTCGCTGGCTTGGTTGACACATGTCATCGGTTCCCAGGTCGATGCTCATGCTGTTGATCACTGGATTGTCTGGTCCAGACTCGATTATTTACAGACCGCCGCCATATAGCTGGAATATTGCTGAGTGCGGCGGTAAAACTAAACTCACTCACTCACTGACTCGACTTGATCATCAAATCGTTTTGGCTGACAAAATGTCAAAGAGAAGGATTACAGATTTTTTCACTTTTGGTTATTGGCCCACATTTTCTAAAGGTAGGGGCCAAGTGGCCCATTCCAAGGAAATCATGGTTGCAGCACTGGACACCAGAATCCTGTGGTTTGAGTCTCAAATTTCCTGTGTTTGTTTCATGTTTGTCACCTTAACACCCGTGCTGGTAGGTTTCACCAGAACCAAAATCATCGAAGTGGTAAACCTCTGACGTCTGCATCACTTTGAGTTGACACCCTGTGATGTAACTAAAATACTGCTTTAAAACCCTACTCACTTGTTCATTAAGTCATATTTTCTTTCAGTGTTTGCAGTTCAAGACAGAACAGGCACAGGATGTGAAGAAACTAGAGAAGTTGACAAGCCAGTTAATGAGGCATATGGCATCCAAGGAAAAGTGAACTGTGTAGTAGTGAGTGGATGGATGATTGATGAGTGAGTGATGGCGGTCAAGATAAACATGTCGCTGTTTTGTGAACATTCATGATGGATATCAACACAAAGCTGGAGCCGATTGAAATTCTTTTGTTCGGATAAGTATACATGTTTATTTTTACCATCAGTTTCTTTTCTAAGTGAATGTACAAAGATATTAGGTTAAGATTTTGTTTGAGAAATGGCAAATCTTTTGATATCTTTTTTGTCACTGTTATTTTCAGTCTTCTTTTTTGTCTACTGTCTATGTGTTACCATGTTATTGGACTGATCATTTTCGTTTTGACAATTTTGTTACAGAAACATGCTTATGTGGCTATTTTGAAAAGATGCAAGGATTTCCATTCTCTTATTTCATTAAAAACTTTTGTGAATAAATAATACCTCACATGTATCTGTACAACACAGTTTCTTAAAGATTCTTTCATGATACTATCGTTATGTGTGATAGCATGACATATTCTGTAGTAATATGAAAGTATTCTGTGGTACGTAATTTTTATTGAGATGTTAGTGTTAAAGAATGATCATGAAGTTTGAGTTGCAACTGATTGCAAGATGATATGAAAACAAGTGTGTTTGTTGATATTTGAGGTAATGGGGAGTGTATAAATGGGATCTTGTTTGATGGGAGACAGTATGTCTTGTATATCAATCTGTCGCCATTTAGGAGAGTGATGTAAACTTGTACATCCCTACACAAGTCAGGGTTAGACACAGCCACCAGTCCATTACTACCATATGAGTGAAAATCCATTTCTATCAACATCTAGCTATTTGCCATAACCCACTAGTTCAAAATGAGATGAGGACTGATGTAGTTTGATGTGGCTAACAGCTTCTAATCATGCTAGTGTGAACTAGTAGCATTTGTTTTTAAGAAAATGCAAGGGACATTATGTAATAGAGAAAATTATAGTTTTGACATACAGCACTAAAATATTGAGCCAGTGCATATCTACACACAAAATAGGTGTGTACTGGTATATTTATGTATCTTCTGGGCTGAATTTCTCAAGCTTTTAGGTTTTGTGCACGTGACATTTACCATTGGTGGAAGTGTTGTGGACAAACAACCATTCACCCCTCAGTATTTGTAATGGAACGAATTAGTAGTACATCTCATGACCACAGTTGTCTGTCATTTATTTATCATGTAAATATTAAATCTGTCATTGTTTCCATGTGTTGTTGTTGATTTTAAGAGCACCAGCTAAAGTTATGGACTATTGCATGCAACATTTTGAAGCCTCTAGTTGACCAAGTTTGTAATGACAACTCACACTATAGGTTAGTCATGAAGTAAGTCTTGCTAAGATGTTCATTTTGATTTTCATGCCATGACTGGCATCCACAGTTGTAGATTGGTTGGTTTGTTGTTTAACGCCACAGTCAGCAATATTCCAGCTATATGGCTGTGGTCAGTAAATAATCGAGTCTAGACCAGACAATCCAGTGATCAGCACAAGCATCGATCTATGCAAATGGGGTATGATGTGTCAACCAATTCAGCGAGCCTGACCACCCAGTCCCTGTCGTCGCCTCTAACAAGCGTAGGTTGCTAAAAACCAATTCTAACCTGGATCCACAGTGGTAGAAAATGTATATAATGTTACAGTACACAAGGTATATATTGTCCCTGACAGGGTCTTAGCACTATGTTTGAAATAGTGTTTAAAATGAAATTTAAATCACTTAAACACATTTTTTAAATTACATAGCTTGGGATCACCCAGGAAGGCTCAGCATCTCAGCCAGTGAGTTCTCCGAGAATGCTCATGGAAACTTCTTAACTGGTGAAAAGTGACAGGATTGAATGCATGAAAGTTGGGCTGAAGATAAGTACTTCATGGCTGAACCTGTGAAAACATAAGATGTAATTTAAAATTTAAGGCTTTCAGGAAACTAAACTGATATACTGATGACAAACATGCACATGTGCTATCAAAACATAGGTGTATGTAACAAAGTGTTTCAAAGCTTAGAAAGGTGTATTAATTACATGCAAAAAAAGGAGGCAGTTCCCTGAATTCAGGGCAGGATGACACAGTGAGATGGGTCACTCTTCAGAAACAACTGATCAACTTTCCCATTTTGTTTGTTGTTTAACACTGTACTTAGCGATTTTCAGGCTATATCACTGCGGTCTGTAAATAATCAAGTCTGGACCAGACAATCCAGTGACTGACATCATGAGCATCGATCTCCACAACAAAGTCATAAAGACTGACCACCTGATCCTCTTACGACAAGCATGAGTTGCTGAAGACCAATCCTAACCTGGATCTTCATGGGTATAATTCAGTTGAGATGTTGAAGGACTAGTATCAAAGCTTTATGATCATCAGAAACTTCCAGAAATCTTGTGTTTTGAGTGAAAGACAAAGAGAACCATCATTTAAATCATCACAAATTGAATTTATACTTAAGTCAAATTTGGATGAAACAAGTTGGATCTAATACATTCAGTGGCCGTGAACACTGATAGTTCTGAAACTTTTGAAACTGTAATTTTCCAAAACCTCCATGTCTGCACATTGCAAACATGACATTGAATATTTCCATAAAGATGTATTGCTGACCCACTGCCCAAAATTCATGGAAATGGGCTGGTTTTTAAACCAGGCAAAAACAAAATAATATCAACACCTTGTGAACAATATAACATTTTTTATTTACAAGCTTTGTTGCAACTGTATTACAAAGTCACGAAAAAGTTTCCCCATAAAGTATACCAACCACACAGTAATGTACACATTTACAGACTTGTATGTACAGAGGTTGAATGTCATGTGTTTGACAAATGATATTCACCTGCAACTGATTTTGGTTGAGCACAATAAATAAGATCTGGCAAGCCTTTGTAACTAAACAGAAACAACATATGGTAAATGGTTGATCAACTGAACATAATCACTTGAAAATTATGTGATGAACATTTCACTTTAATGAATTTGAATTGGATTACAAGATGATGAATTAAGTAAACATTCAACAGAGACAAATTTAGTAAAGACATATTTTTGTAAATTTCAGATGTTTAAGATCAGGATGAATTTATTTGAAAAGTTAATAACTTAAATCAAACCTGTTCTAAATATTCTGTAGTGGTAGCATTTACTTAAAACATTGCACAAAGGAAGGGAGATAACTCTAAATCTTGACAAGCACAGCAAATAAAATGGTCATACAGCACTTTGTGGAATATGTTTGGCAGAACAGTCATTATTAGAAATATCATCCACTACATTCAACTTAACATTTGAAACGTCTATAGTCTACAAGTTTCACATGCATAACAACTAATATGTTAAATGAAAATGACAATTTTAATATCAGTTGAAGTATGAACATGCTTTTTGTACAATGCAAGTTACGGAATTTACCAAGCACAAAAATAAAACTCCATCTTGTCATGACACAGCTGAAGATGGCATAGAAAGTATCAATGTATATAAAAACTGCTTTTAAGAAATAAGAGTAGGAAGTTACACAGCTTTCAGAAAATGATAAACAGCTTGAGAAAAAATGTTTTGGGGGAACAGCACAGTTTACAGATGTGAGGAATAGATTCTGACGATCTTGAACAAATTTGACAAATCCAAACCACAAATCCAACTGCTCTTGACATAAAGAGAAAGTATCAGTATCTGATTGTTCCTATTGAAATCGATTAATGACTCCTTGGGAGCAATGTGATACAGTTTTGAATCTATACATACACTTTGAAAATAATTAAGCACCACGATAATTGTCAGTATGAAAAGAGCAATTCAATGTAATCAAATCCTGTATATATTTTTTGACAAAAAAAAATCATTTTAGGCTACAAAGTGAAATACATGTATTGAAAACACAAACCAAAATTGACTATTTAATGACATTTTATAACTATTTGATGGTAATTATGATTATCCCTTGCCTGTTTGCATCTTAAAATTACATGTGAACATAAGGGTTTGTATACCAACTGGTTTGATCATCAGCTTCAGCTGTACCTGAAACTTTTGTTAAACTAAGGTCAGATTGACATATCCAACGATACCCTGAAGTTCAGCTTATGTGAGAGCAAGAGCATGTATATATGTTTGAAACAGTAACCATTGCTAAGGTGGGTACTCAGGACGAACAGTATAACTGTACATTCAATGATCCAGTCATGCACAACAACATAATACTGTATAAAACATTACCTATGTGCGACGTACATGACCTATTATTGAAATATTTGTATTAGAACTTATTCTCATTGAGAGTGTTAGGTTTAAAGCTGCTTTGAACAGTATTCCAGTTTTATCACCATGTGTCAGCTTAATGTGGAAACTTCGAGTGTTGTAAGTTTTAAACATTTAACACTTTGGTGAAGCACCAGTTTGGTGCTGACAAGCCTAGAAACAATCAGGGGTCGGGATTTGAAGAACCTTTTCTAAATAATATCGACACGATATAATATTTCTTTCAACATGATCAACATTTTTATCCTTTGGGTGGTGGTCTGTCCTTTTTAGCTTCCTTTTCTCAAGAACTGTTAAAATAGTGGATTTCTTAGTACAGTTGAATTTTCAAAAGGAGATAGGTAAAACACCTAAAATCCCCCCCACGATACCAGGAAGACAAAGCGTAAACATTCTTTCTTGAGGATGAATATATTCTTCTAATCATCATAATACATTACATCATGCATACATTAATTGGATTCAACAGAAAAATTCACAATTCCTCCACTGATCTCTGCCTATTCTGATAACACCTGGTCCAACATGACTTACTTTCTTTATTTAGTCAAGTAAATAAGAGTTTTGGTTTATCACTGCTCTGAACAGTATCACTGTGTGTCAGCTTCATGTGGGAGAAAATCCCTATCTGACATACACCCTAGAAGTTTACCACAAAGGGTGAAATCCATCTGCACTTGTACAAAGCTGACAGACCAAGGGTCACACCAGGATGAGTCTGGACTGAACCCAGGCCAAGTGATACTGACTGCGCTAAGACACTGGACCACCTGTGCCCTCCAGCAGAGACAAGTATGGTCCAGCCACTACACCTGGTGCACATCTACTGTTTCCTTCCAAACATGATATGATTTGTGAGCCACCACATGAGTAAAGGCTGTAATATTGCTATAGTCAGTATAAGATATAAGCTGCGTTTGTTTCCACGAGAGAAATCGTCCCCAGTACTGTGGGGCTGTATCTGCACCCTCAGTGTTCGAACCTGCAACACAGAAGTGGTAGGTATGAAAGTCTTTTAAATGGAAAGTTGACAAACAACATGATCACGACCTGGGCCATGGACTTGGGTCGCAAACAACATCACGGAACATTGTCAATTTGTAGTTGACAATGTAAGACAAGATTATTATTTATATACATGCAGATATGATAATTCCTGCTTGAAAGTGCTTTGAGTGTGTTTTTAATGAGACATTTACTCTAATAGGAAAGTATCTTATTATTAGAACCTTTTCAAATGTCATTTTATAAGGGAATCCAAGTAAGATAAGTTACAGGAATATGGAAAGAAGTGACATGGGTTGAATAGTATTTGAAAATGCAAGGATAACTAATAGTAGGGATGCCACGATACATCGATACTTTTGCTAAGACAATACAATTAGTTTTGAAAGTATCGGTTTAAATATGTTTATGTATGGTTTACATTTTGCAATTGTATCATGTTTTTTGATTTTATGAGTGTTATAAATGATTATTTTTCATGCACAATGATGGGAAATTGGAACTTTTTAATCTCTGAGAATAAAAAATGTTGATCTTTTCATGGACAATTATAAAATATGAAATATTAATGTTCAAAATGTAACTAAATTTACGCAATAATGCCGCGAAAAATAGGTATCGTGATACTTATGGAATCGTGACATGGGTATCGTGATACGTATCGATTCATGAAACTTATGTATTGTGACATCCCTATCTAATAGCATATGAAATATGTCAGGACTCCTGAGCCTGCGGGTGAGTGAGTGAGTTTAGTTTTACGCCGCACTCAGCAATATTCCAGCTATGTGGCAGCGGTCTGTAAATAATCGAGTCTGGACCAGACAATCCAGTGATCAACAGCATGAACATTGATCTGCAAAATTGGGAACCGATGACATGTGTCAACCAAGTCAGCAAGCCTGACCACCCAACCTTGTAAGTCGCCTCTTACGACAAGCATGGGTTACTGAAGATCAATATTCTAACCCGTGTAACAGGCCAAATTTTACCCCTGGCCAAACCTTCCCCAGGAAAGTTTCCCCACCCTTGAATCAACTTTAAAGGCTACTCGCTTTCCCATCCTTGTTCTTATATCAAAGGGGAAGATTCTTTAGCCTAGGCCAAACTTTCCCCCCTAGGCAAAAAAGTCTGAAAACAAGACAAGCTATTTGAACCATTGATAAGATAACTTTGATGTCAAGTTCCCTTGAATCAACTTTAAAGGCTACTTGTTTCCCATCCTTGTTCTAGATATATCTGAAAGGGGAGATTCTGGCCCTAGCATTTGGCTATTTCTTCCCCAACCTTGAAATTATAAACAAACATGTTTATGAAAAAGGGACACATTGATAACAACTTCAGTCAAAGTCATTGTGAAAATACAAGACACTGGGGCTGGCCGGTTGTTGTGTTGATGTCAAGTTCCATTAACAATTTACACTACAGGTCATCTTCATCTTCATATATAACATGCATATGGTTCCCATTTTCGTTTCAATACCCTTCTATAAGGTGAGATTAAAAAGAAAAGCAAGCATAAAAGCAAAGATATTATATCATTACTATTGTTTTATATTATCATTTACTTATTTTTATATTTCAATAATTTACTTATCCCCACTTACTCAAAATTGGCTTATGTCAAAATCATTACTATATTCGAAACTTTAACTAAATACCCAGTTCTTACTTGGATGTCCATAGCAATTCAAGCTTATGTGAATAATGTTCCATTACATTTATACATCAAATAGAACAAAATTAGATAATAAACAGCATGATAAGAGAGCAAGCAACCTGTGTATATTACATGTTATTTACCCATCAAATGTGCGATAAAATGTTTACATCTTATGGTGGACAGATGAAGAACTTATGCAATGTGTCTTCATAGGAATGTCGGCAGGAGCAGGATGGATTTAGAGATATATGCCGTTCAAATATGTATGCATTCAAATCACAACACCCAAGTCAGAGGTAAAAATGGACTTATTTAGCAAAAATGTGTACCAAAATATAAGTCAAACCTACTGTCGGTTTATAAGAGCAAGGGTGGGGAAGAAGTAGCCTAGCTAGGCCAGAATCACCCCTTTGATATAAGAACAAGGGTCCCCCTAGCTAGGCCAGAATCTTCCCACTTTTCATAGAAAACAGAACAAAATATCCTAGTTTAAACAGGGGAAAGTGTGGCCTAGGAGGGAGGGGAGTTTAGCCTAGCCCAAACTTTCCCCAGGGTAAGGATATCCTAGGACAAAACCTCCCTTGGGAAAGTTTGGCCTAGGCCAGATTCCCCCGGGGAAAGTTTAGACCAGGGAAGAAATGGCCTGCTACACTGGACCTTCATGGGTCTGAGCCGGTGGGAGGAAATCCAGCATCAGCATGGTGCTGGCAGATCCAGGATGATAAAGGGGTGACTGGACTTACCAGGAAGAAGACGAGTGAGATGCTGAACCAGAGCAGCACTCCATAGTAGCCCATACGTTGTAACACTAGGCCTGCCAGCATACACACGATCATTCTGCAACAATACAAAACACTAAAGGACTGGACAACACTCAGCAACATATCAATATATTGGTTTATTTTGGTCATGATCAGCTAGAGCCATGACATTGACAAGGGAAGGTGGTGGTAACTGCTGGGGGAGGTTTGGTAAGGAATTTTGAAACTGGAAACATTCTAAGGGTTCCAAACACGTTTCCACTAAGGATCGACAGAGAAGGGAGAGATGCAAAGTGTCAGGCTTTCCAAAGAAACCTTTGCCACTGTGCAGAAAAGTGCAGAAAAGCCCACATTAATTGTGGAAATAGCAACATAAACATAATACCTTGCTACTGAAACAGTAAAAACGGCAACTTTAAATCGCTAAAACTGCATAAAAACGAAGAGCTTGCAACTTCGATTTTGTGATCATGACATGGAAGAGGAAGTCTCGACCGCATGTTAACATTTTCCAGCTTGGACAAAAGTTACATTCCCTTTTTAAGTATTTCTGTTGTATTATATGATGTATCCCACCTCCAGCAATATCCCTAGAATATCCTGCTGAAGGACATAAAAAATGAGCGCCAAATATTATCTGGACGCAAGGATCTGAATCCCAGAGTACTGAGTGACCCACTGACACAAGGATAGGAATGTCCCTGATGCCACAGCTGTACCCCAGGTAACACACGATACCACCGCTTACCCTACAAACTTGTACCCCAGGTAACACATGATACCACAGCTTACCCTACAAACTTGTACCCCAGTAACACATGATACCACAGCTTACCCTACAAACTTGTACCCCAGGTAACACATGATACCACAGCTTACCCTACAAACTTGTACCCCAGGTAACACATGATACCACAGCTTACCCTACAAACTTGTACCCCAGGTAACACATGATACCACAGCTTACCCTACAAACTTGTACCCCAGGTAACACATGATACCACAGCTTACCCTACAAACTTGTACCCCAGGTAACACATGATACCACAGCTTACCCTACAAACTTGTACTCCAGGTAACACATGATACCACAGCCTACCCTACAAACTTGTACCCCAGGTAACACATGATACCACAGCTTACCCTACAAACTTGTACCCCAGGTAACACATGATACCACAGCCTACCCTACAAACTTGTACCCCAGGTAACACATGATACCACAGCTTACCCTACAAACTTGTACCCCAGGTAACACATGATACCACAGCCTACCCTACAAACTTGTACCCCAGGTAACACATGATACCACAGCCTACCCTACAAACTTGTACCCCAGGTAACACATGATACCACAGCCTACCCTACAAACTTGTACTCCAGGTAACACATGATGCCACAGCTTACCCTACAAACTTGTACCCCAGGTAACACATGATACCACAGCTTACCCTACAAACTTGTACCCCAGGTAACACATGATACCACAGCTTACCCTACAAACTTGTATCCCAAGTAACACATGATGTCGAGGTACTTGAGGTCAGTCCTCAGGTTCATCACGTACAGCGTGAACATGACAACCAGCAACTCAATGATGAACCAAACAAGGGCAGAGCTTGCTTGGATACCTAGTTGCTCTGGAGTAAACCTGCAAAACACAAATTGCTCTCAATAAACTACAGTTATAACAAACTCAAACAAACCACTAATGTTAGTTTTATCCATCAGGTCAATGTAAGAGTGTTTCTTATAAACATAGTTTACTGTTCATCTAGACACACTATACAGTAACAGAGGCAGAGCACTCCTATTGAATCAGGGTGCATGACCCCAAGTTTGATACTTGGTGTGTACAGATGTAATCGTATTACAACACGTCATAACTAGAACCATGATTACCACCTCATTGTGTGATGTGTTACCAACAAAAACAATGCATCCATTAACTACAAATTACTTTGTTGATTACTTTCCTTCATCTATCAGTGTTTGGTTGAGGAGTCAGTCTTTCAATATGGATAAGGTTCTTGGATTACAAAGTTTTAGAAAGGTTCCGACTGAATTTCATTACAAATGACAGTATAAAGGGGCTGGTGGAGGTTTGGGGGATGTTGCTGTGCCCCAAACATTCTACATTCATACATTAATGGGTGGTATGGTACACTAAGTGTAAGATTCCATTATTTTTCTAATATTGATATTCATCTGGATTGTTAATGACAGGCATAAAACAACATTCACTCACTCACTCACTCCATGGACATACCTGTCTTGTGTTCCTAGTACTAGACCTGCTACCAAGATATAGGTGACAAATGCCATTACTGAAACAGAAACAGTGTCAACGTCTCATCACATACATTCACCCTTACATGACAACACAGAAGAAACCTTAAAAATATGTGGAGAGGCTAAAAGGCTAACAATATAGGGATGATGCTAAAAGTTTTGCAGACTCAAAAAAAACAATCCATTCATCCTCAGATATTTTACAGTAGACATCTACGAGTGAATTAAATTTAATGCTGTCTTGAACAGTACCCTATTTAATAACAGTTATTGTGGGAGAAATAGAAGTCTAATTGAAATCCAAAACATCATTTTCCGGCTATGCCAAGATGCACTTTGCCCTTCCTCTTTAATGAATTAGCTTCAGATTACACCTCACAGGTCTGCATAGTGTGTAGAATGCAAGCCTTTGCCAGAATGAATTGAGAGTGAAGTATTGGTAAAATGAGCAATAATTCAATAACAAATCGCAACACAAGGACTGGTCTAGAGTGTAAGACAACAGAGACAGGAACAGCGAAACGTACCTGGAATATATAAATCAGGAGCATTGACTTCATATCTTGGAGCTACCGGCTCATCCTGGTTGTACTTAATGGACCAGTCCTATAAACCATATAGGATACAAGGCATCACCTTTTGCACATACAACAGATTTATACATTGAAGTATTACAGAGCATGATATTGCAATATTTTCTTAAAGGTTCCTAAGCTTAGCAATTTCTACTAGTTATGAACTTCTTCACACCAGTGCAAGCTGCCAACATCAGCGGGTATTACAAGAACATCTGAAAATCATGGGTTCTGACAACGTCATTGCTATCAACAATGTGATCTTTGACATGAAGCAGTGAGTTGGCTTCAAGGAACACCCATAAAGAGAATACTGTGTGTTATTAGCTGACACTTACTAAAGGCCTTTATGAGAATATAATGGTTGCTTATACTGACTTCAAAAGACTGACTGACTGAGTTTGGTTTTCGCGCTTTTAGCAACTTACAACATGTGTGAACACCAGAAAAAGCCACACATTGTACCCCCCGGGTCTTCTTGCCAACGCTTTAACCACTAGGCTACCCCACCGCCCTGACCTCCAAAGAAACAACTTACTGCATGTGTGAAAGGGAAAGCCAGAAGCCCCAGCTTCTTGCCAACGTAAGCTGTGTCTACAGCAAAGTAATATTTGATTTTGGACGTCGCTACATACTGTTCTATCTGTAAGAAAAACAGTATTATGATCAAATATGATACTGTATAACCACAGAAAGCATCTTATATTTTGCTAATTCACAAAAATAATAGAGAGGGCAGATAAATGTGTGAGAAAAGTACAAGGTGATCAGATCAATAACATTAATCACTCTGTGTTAATCAACAAAAGACATTATCAGAGCAAATCTGGTACACAAACCCACGGCAAACAGATCTTGGCACTCAACAGAGTGGCAGGGGTGGAAATAACCCATTGCCCGACGTCCGAGTCCAGTGTTTTTTTCTGTCGGGCAAGCAAATTTGTATATCACACTGTACCGGTGTCCAGTTGACTTTCCAATGTTAACTATGTTGTTTATTTAAAAATCAGCAAGAAAACGGTCGGTATACTGGAAAAAATATCAGGGCAAGTGACTTTACATGTGCCACTATACCGGAGTACACTATCAATTTTAAAGTTATTTCCACCCCTGAGTGGTATGGTACCTTTAGGACTAGGTGGGTTGGAGGGTGCTATTTAGCAAGTGAGTTGGGTTTTCATGCCGGTTCAAACAGTATTCCAGTTATATGATGGTGTCTCAGCTGAATGTGGACGTGATGCAAAGTGATGCATGTCTCAGTAGTTCACCACTCTAGTGAACCCTACAACCACAGGCATAATGCTGACAAACCTAGATTCATTATCATTACAGACTCGGACTCGTCTTCTGGCATGCAAGCAGACACACCTCTGCAAAGACAAAATGAGGGCCACCTATGTTCCCTTCAATGGGCCATATGGGCCTCCACCGACTCATTTCAGCCATGTTTCCCACTGAGCACATGACTTACATTCTTGTTGAGCATATCTTTACTCTGGCCTGCCCATGAGGTGCCATACTGCATTGCCAAGTTAGCCATGGGGTCTTGAATGTACTGTTGTCCAGGAAACTGATTGACATCACCAGGTGGCATTCCACTTGGGTCATAACCTGCAAATAGACAGTTACGCTAGGGACAGGATTCATTTAACAGTCTGACAAATGTTGTATTCCCTTTAAATATCTAACATGAAATGGGCGGAAGAAGGTGCTGTGAGTGAGTTGGAATTGTCGTCACTGTGAATAGTATTCCAGTTATATCATGGCGGGGAGGGTGTTGAAAGAACCAACGACAAAGGCTGTGGGATGTTGAGCACCCAGGGACAATAATATATTTGTCCAAATCTACAATCATTTGTGTCATTTATATCTTCCAAAATGTTTCACACAAGTATTCAGTGACACCTCTGTCTATACTTGCTAGTTGTGTCAAGTGCTGCAACGGTATACAGCGGTTTTCAATAAACAGCGTTATTTACTCTCGGTTTGATTTATGGTTCAGATTGTGCTGATTTCAGTTCGGTCCGTAAATAGCATGATATATAGCTAAATAATGCAACGAGACTTCTAGTAATTGGTTCAATTGAATCAATTCGTAGTGGCGAGCTAATCACTTTGACTGATAAGCAAGTGTTTGTGAACAAAATAACGACTGGTCTGATTGGCGCAATTCAGCCAATCCCTATCGCTGTCACTGATAAGCGTGAGATTTGAATCCATGGTTACGAGCAAGATGGAGGTTATTGATGGCATTCCCAAACTATGCGAGCCACCATTATCCCTAGTGCTGGTACTGGCATACAACCTGCAATACGATACGTATCACGATACTAAAATTTTAGTTACGACGATATATTGCCAAAGTATTGTGCACGGAAGCTGCGATACGATACGAATCCCAATATAAGGGTGGCAATACGATACGTATCACGATACTGAAATCTTTAATTCTAACACCAACTGTAAAAGACCTTAAGATAAAAACAAAACTATTTAAAAGTATTTAGTCAAATTCAGCCAGTGTTTTTCAATGTTCATTCGGAAATGAGATAATTAAGTTTATACAGACTTCGTGAATGTTAATAAAATGCGAGTGCTCTGTTTGACACAGTTCCTGACACAAGAATGTCCGAGAAACTTATGAAGGGAAAATAAGTATGCATATATTTTAATCATCAAGGTGAGGTGAGGTGAGGTGAGGTGGAGGTGAGGTGAGGTGAGGTGAGGTGAAATTGGGTTTAACGTCGTGCTTGAGAACATGTGCATGCGTGTATATGTATGCATGTGGCTGCTTGTACTAGCCCAGACTTAAGCTGGTTTTATAGTGCTAGCCCACTGAGATACCATGCCGCAGTGAAGCATGAATACCCCACTCGGACACATTATACTGAGTCCAAGCCGACCAGTCCTTGTTGTACCCATTAATGCTGAGCGCCAGGCAGGGACCAACAAGTACCATATTTTAACGTCTTTGGTATAACGCTGGCGGGGATCGAACCTGACCTTCCGCTCTCCAGGCAGACGCTCTAACCACTACACCACGGAGGCTGTGTTTAATCATCAAACAAAAGTAAGTCTTTCTTGTCAGATATCGCGATTCGGCAATATTCAAAGTGAAACATCGATGTATCGTGGCCCATTTTAAGTATCGTATCGGGATATACGGCAATGTAAACCTTTGTATCGATTCACTGTATCGGCAGCCCGTCAGATCGATGCATCGATGTGTATCGATGAATCATCACACCACTAATTATCCCTACGATATTTTGTATTGTTTTATACTCCAAGTCATTGAAATATATTTGACGACTTATTTTATTTTGTTTTATGTCAAGGAATGAAAAAAGAACAAACCTTTTTTTCCTTAAAACTGTGCTTTGTGTATTGAATATACCAAAAAGAGCGGTTGATACTGTGATACGTATCATATCGAACCAGGAGTGTATTGTTGCAGCCCCAATTGTGTCTAGTATTTACCCTTCTGAAGGGTTGTCATAGATAAAGTTAGGGAAAAAATACCAGCGCCTTGAGCATGCACTAGTGCGTGGATATGTGCGCTATGTAAATATCCAAAAATAATAATAATGAAGTGAGAAAGTCCTCCTGCTTGACCCACCTTGTGGTTGTCCATAGTTGCCAGGGGGAGGAAACTGTCCTGGTTGTGGTGGGGAGCTGGTGTCTTGAAACAACTGAGGCTTCTGTGACTTGGTGCCCTTGGCCTTCCGTTTCTGCCCAGCTGTAGACAACATTTGCACATGCAGCTACCATTTATCTATCTATCATTTAATAATTCATAATAATATACAGAATAATCTTCACAAGACTTGTTTTATATGCTACATTTGAAAACTTATTTCATAGTAGTGACAAACATATGCAAACTGAATTAACATAAATTGGCTAGTGTTTTATGGTATATAAGTATGATTATCAGAAGCTTTAGGAAATGCAAACACTTACCAATGTTTAGGTACACAAAAGTCACCGAGAGTGCATACAACATTGACATCAAGACAACAACAATTGCAGGAGTAAAATGCTTAGTAAGCAAAACAGTCTACAATGTCTACTATGTTACTTGTACAATCTGTTTAATGAAAACATATTTGAGTTATAAAAGTAAAATACAGTAAAACAAACATATTTTTTGTTTTTCATCAGAGAGCAATATTTCAGCTTCAACACATCTGGCCATGAAGTAACCTGCTGAGAATATTAACAAGTGGTTGACAGAGCAGCAAACTGTATGACCACAGTCTTGTTGTAACTCTTGGCGCAGTCACAGCTGAGAAATGCATTTCACTTCAATCATGCATGTAACAACCATACAGCAGTCATTGTGACCACCAGATCAACATGTTAGTTGTCTCAGCCCCTGAACAGCCAGAGACTGTGTAATATCCAAGCTAGGTAAACAAGAATTAATGTATTTAAGTTGACATGATCACCAAAAATATCAACAAAGAACCAGATTATCCTCTGTCTGGATGCCTGTGTGTGACGTCTTGTGCCAGCTGTTGTGTTAGTGAATCTGCCTGTTAGGGGATCTACATGTTCTGTTGTGTATGTATGATGCTATAGCAATACCCAGTGTTCACGAAGGGTGTTTCAATGTAACAGGACATTGGGTCCTGTAAGTTTCAGATGTCTGTCTGACCCACTGAAAATGCATAGGACCCATAGAATAAAATTAAACACACATTTCAGATTTAACATTTCTTATAATTGGCATTGAAATTATTAACAAACATAACATTTATAAATAGCCAACAAGTGTCACATGTCACATATAACAACTTCAGTCAAAGTCATTGTGAAATATACAGTCAGACACTGGGGCTGGCGGGTTGTAGACTTCTATCGGAACGTTGGCGAATCTGCCAGATTTGTCAGAGGGTCAGACGCTATTCGTGAACACTGAATACCTCATAAACCCATGCACATGACCAACACACAACAATATCAAGCACAGTCCTTTATTCAATAACGAATCTGGAGAAATTTGATCAAAATAATATGATCAACGAATCTGGGAAAATTAGATACAAATAATATGATCATATACAAAAATAAAAGTGGGACAATGCACTGATGTATCAGGACATACCAAGATTTCATATAACTATTATGCAGTAGGATGACATAAATTTGAAACGATAGTTTCAAAGTTATTAAGTGTCACCAGAACAATAATTGTTTCTGTTTTTGGTCCAAATAACACAAGTTCACATTTTGTTCATAAACCTGGAAGTTGTCGAAGGCTTTAAACTCGTTTTTATAAAGATTCGTAGACGTTCTGAAGAAGGACAACTAACTGCACTCAACAAGCCTGAAAGGCCTTAAAATCTTTTCACGTTCATACAAACTGTGCTTTGTGTGACATATGCACTTGGTATGTTTGTTTTGGGGAAAACAGTTTAGAGTTACCTGCCCTTTTGTAAAAGAATAAGCACACAAAACAGCCTGCTTTGGTAATTTGAGTAGCAGTGAATACTTTTAGGATGAATGAGCACACATTCTGTGAATATTTTCTGTAAAGTTTGTTTGTCCAGTTTGAATGACAAATTTCTACTAAACAACATATGGACTTTTTGTTAATCATTACTAAATTTTCCCCTTGTGACACTGACCTCCCTCTATTTCGGGCAATAGAGATAGTCAGATGTTCATGCATTTGTTCATCACCATTGGTCATATCCAGTTAGTCTGCTTCTGGACTAACACTTTTGTAGTTTTTGGACCAGACCAAACTGGGTATCAACTAGCATGACTGGTTTGAGCATCAGTCAACTCATTCGAGTCTGTGTCTGTGTCATAACTTCACTTGTCAATGTTGTACATGATGATCTACTTATCTTCTCTTATGAAGTGATAAAGAAAAGTGGCAGTGAGCAACCTTTCATCGAGTAGTGGAATATTGTTTTCTACTTCATAATATATACCACTGTAACAAATTATCCGCTGCTAATGAACTCTAATCATGACAAACAGGACATAGCATTATGTGAAGATCTCGTCTGCCCTGGAACCTACACTGGTTACAAAACATCCCATGATGATATGCTCATCTTATGGTTAAACACAGAAGTTCAAAACTACATGTAACACAAAGGGTACATATTCATGCAGGTTGCTCATAACTAACATAACTCTCACACTTCCATGGAAACCAAACAAAAATCATTGTAAACACTAATACTCCACAAAATAACCCCCAAAAACAGTATTGGTTTCACTTTTACCCATACATTTATGTCTATAATAGTTTCTTGTCTTCACAGTTAGGCTGTAAGTGTTAGATGTAAGCCTACAAGCCAACTAGTCAACAATAGCTTATGGTTAGTGATTATAATGATTCAAGGACATTCTGCATGTTTATTGTTTCAACCTGTATAACAGTATCATCAGACATGTTGGTGACCTCCCTTTTAGAAAGTACTGACTACTATCCCATGTACAAATTACAATGAATAGGAATGTTGCTGTAACTGAATCTACATGGTATTAAATATTGACAAAGAAGCCAAACAGAAAAAAAATTAAATATTAAAAATACAAGATCATTTACCTTTCCATATTGGAAAGAAGTTACATTGAATGCTGAACATGCTTAGAAACAAGAACAAAACAAAAGAAAAAATACATCTAAACATCTAAAAAATGTTAAACCATGCTATCATGCTCAAAGTCTAGAATTGTAGAACAGTTAGATTTTCAACCTAGAGTTCATGTATATTTAGTACATACTGAAGCTACAAAGCATAGCATTATAATTTAGGTCAGGCAGTATTTATGTGGACAAGGAGTGCAATGCTGTACATTTGGAAACAATCATTACTACCACTCTTACACATGCAAATAGAATGTCAGGAAGTCCCAAGCCATATCCAGGCTTTGTTGTTAGTACAGTTCATAACATCCTCTATATAATGCATCAACAGCTACAAAATATGGTGATCTTCTGGTCATGTTGAATGAATGTTAATTCAATGTAAACATACAATGCGGAATAGACCTGTCCTAGGGTATGTTTCTGTATTCTGATTTTGGCTATGGTATGATTCTGCATACAGAAACGTACATGGAGTACATATCAAGCTTCAGGTCATTGGTAAAAAATCACACCCAGAAGAATGTAACACATCAGCCTAACAAATTAACTGACTTCACAAATGACATGATTTGGGTTGTATCTTATTTCAATATAAATATTTTTCTTCTCTTGTACAAAACAACAAAGAGACTACTACCTTGACTTAATGAGGGCTATCTATCCTACGATCCCAGAGACCGAGTCCACACCAAAACTCACACACACCATTTACAAAATAAATGAAGTTTTGGTCAGTCTTCAATGTCAAAAGTGTGTGGGTTATACTGTGACACTACAACAAATTAGTGATAAACTTTCAACAGGCTTTGTAACTTTATATTTCTAATCTTGACTTATCAGATCATGCCAGTGAATATACTTCATTCACGGAACACCATGCAGTATATACATCATGCACGAAAATGCTCATTGACAATACAGTGCTATTTGTGCAAGGGACAATGCTCAGGCTTTTGGGAAAGTTTTGTTCAGCTGGCACGCCACTCGATAGACACACAACATCCAGACGTCAAATAAACTGGACGTACACTTACGCTGTCTGAAGCCAGATGGGACGTCCATTTTCTGAAAATAAACAATACTTTCAATAACAAGTTATCAAGGAAATAAACAGGTCGAAACTGCCTATACGATTAATCGTGCAAGAACATTTTACCACGTTGCACTGTCAAAAACCCGAGTCTGAGTTGGCAAGACACACAGACAGACAGGGGCATTAACTCAAGCCTTGAGAGTTACCTCCCTTGTACCTAACAGATGACAGGGATGGACAGTAAATTTGAGAATGAACAGCGAACACAGCAACTGTACCAAATCCTTTTCGCAAATGCCAGTTTCCTATAGCATCAAATGACAAAGCCATTTTGACATTTTTAACTTGACAACATTGCACAACGGTCATCAACTTTAGGCAGCTGTTTATCAGTTGCTGATATATACATAGCTTATTCTGATTCCCAGGGAGAATAGAATTTACGATTTTCAGATATGAATGAAAACAATCGGCTCAACCATCATATACATACAAATTGTTAGTTTTGGACATGTTTCTTCACTGTTAATTCATTTAATTCATAAACCAGTGCCTCTATTTACATGTGTAGGCCTACACGTACGTCGTTTTAAGAAGTTTTAGCACGCATGATATTTAAACTCACAATATGAAATTTTGTGTTAGTATGTGAAAATATAATATGAAAGTATTTATGCTGAAATTAGTTTCACCCAAGTGGAAGAAGTAGGGAAGAATTTTAATTTTTGAAACTTTTAAAAATAATTGTGACAAACACCCTAGATATGCTACTGCCATTCAACATGTTTTAAACATGAGGTTGCTGTTATACAAAGGCAGTTGCTGTTGTGTTTGAGTACTTGAAACGAACTGCACCCTGTATACCAGAAATCATGTGAGAAAACAAACACGTGAAGATCCGGGTTAGAACAACAACACATGCTTTTCGTAAGAGGCGACCAACGGGATCGGGTGGTCTGCTTCGCTGACTTGGTTGACACATGTCATCGTATCTCGACCGCGTAGATCTATGCTCATGCTATTGATCACTGCGTTGTCTGGTCCAGCCTCGATTACTTACAGACCGCAGCCATATACCTGGAATACTGCTGAGTGCGTTAAACCACCAACTAGAATCTTCGAAAACATGAAACGTTTTGATTTACCCCCTTTTATAATACTATAATCATATAATGTGGTGAATAAGGACATGTTCGCGGATGCTCTTTTTGCCTCTGAGTACACGATGTTCTGAGAATAATTTAAGCATTCCAGTTTTTCACATTATGCGCATTTCAATTTACAACAGTAACTGGAATAGGTGCGCGAAGGGAGATAATCTGCTCATAGTTGACTCGTGTGTGTCGTGTGCAAACCGCGGCAGTTTCCTAATCATGGCTGACCACCACGATTTACCATTCAAAGCTGAATATGCGAAGAGTGGCCGGTCATCCTGTAAAGGATGCAAGGGCTCAATCGGTCAGGATTCTCTCCGACTGGCTATCATGATACAGGTATAAAAGACAAACGACATTATAGAAGAGATGAATGGTCTGTAATGTAATGTCCCACGATGTTGTTATTTTTCGTCTTCCGATAAGAGATAGGTCTAAAGGGTTTTTTAAACAATTGAAATAGGGTAGTGTATGTTTCTGTGCAAGATTTTGTTTATTTATTATTGTTTAATTTGTTAAAGGTGGATATTTTCCTTGTCATCATCTTGCCTGTAAATGTATACACTATATATACATATTCGTAAGCTGAAAGCTCAACATGCTCATGCCGGCATAGTTGGATTGTACCACGTGACGACGAAACAACCAATGAACGAACGTGTTAGGCCAGGGCGGGTAGTGTAAATAATGCAACATGCGCAAAATGTGCATCACGGTCCACGCACGGGACGCAAATGTCACAATCTTTCGACGACGAAAGACTATTAAAATGAAATGTTCTAAAAGAAGTAGTTAATTGCATTTCATTTACTGATTCATTATTTACTGATTTTATTGATTCATTCCGAAATTAAAATTCTCATGAACTCCAGACAGTAAGTTTTTGACATTTCAGCAGTGTGGAGTGAACTTGTTTCCACACCCTTCAATAACTGGACATTCTTTCCAATGGTTTTGAGGAAAATTATGAAGTCTTATATTTCTTGTACTTTCTTGAAACTTAAACTTATATTCATTTCTTCCTTTTTTTCAGTCACCCCACTTTGATGGAAAGGTAAGTCAGACAGTCTGTGTGTTACACACTTGAATTTAGCCTGCCATGACCAGTAAAAGAGGTGCAAATGTAAGACCTGTTACATGTGCAAAAAACTGTATGAGATTGTGTCACTGCCCCCATGTCAGTTCACACAAATTTAAAGTCAGTTCTTTAAAAATATCAAATTGTAATATAATCCAGTTGGAAATATTAAGAAATAGTTGTTTAAAGCAGTTGATCAATGTTGTTGGATAGCTCTGTCACAGAGAAACTGCAGAACATTATAGAAAATCTATTGCTTGCTTGTCTCCAGCTGAGGCTGTCACCTCATCCATTCCTTGATTAGTATCTCGTTTTCTGAAAGCGTATCCTATTATGTACAAAAGAAAAAACTAATTGTCTCACACCACTTGTTTTATCTTAGTAGGGTATGCAGTATGTTTTATTTCATCAAATATTAACTTTGATTCCAACTGGTTGTATTTTCATGGTGGGTTCCATCTTGTTTTCCCAATCTGTAAAAGTTTGCTGTCTCATCTTTATAAGGTCCCAAACTGGTTCCACTATGCCTGTTTCTGGAAACGTTCAAGAGTTGAAAATCCAGACGATATCCATGGATTTCATTCTCTCCGTTGGGACGACCAGCAGAAGATTAAAGACAAAGTTGCTGGTGAGTTGGAGAACTCATGTTACTTGGTTATAGGGGTGAATACCATAAGTAATATTCAGCCTGGCCACTGTAAGATGAGCATTATATTGGTATTACTACATTTTGGTCGCCATTTCGGTTCAGTGTTAGTGTACCATTATATGTGTACCAGTGACCTATACTTGTACAAGGCCTTTAAGTAGTGGATCAGGTTGTAAGACTGATAGTGTTCGTGATGGTGCAGCCATTTTATTTTCTAAAATCTGTTTTACTTTGTTGTTTTTTTGGTTTTTCGGTCTGCCAGTTTTGCAGAGATTTGAAAAGTGCTTGAATTTAACATTGTTCTGTCAAACTTGCTAAATTCTTCAAGTGCTATAAAAGTAAAGTTCTTGGAAGGCATTTAGAAGTTGGACGAACATGAGCACATGACACATTTTATGGATAGCAACTTCTTTTTATTTAAAAGTGCTGGAATCATTTTTAATAATTCTTGAAATTGCTTTAATGTAAAAAAAGCATCTGTCCAGAAAGGACAATATTGCTCCTGAAAATGATTAACTACTACTGTCGTATCAATGCATTTGTTTTGGCTTACCACATAAGATTAGACTGTCTTCTGTCTATAGTGGCATATGTGTGTCATTTTGTGTCATCCCTGGCCACGTCATACCAAAAGACGTTAAAATATGGTACTTGTTGATCCCTGCCTGGCATTTGGCATTAATTGGTACAACAAGGACTGGTCGGCTCGGAGTCAGTATAATGTGTCTGAGTGGGGTATTCATGCTTCACTGCAGTATGGTATCTCAGTGAGCTAGCACTGTAAAACCAGCTTCAGTCTGGGCTAGTACAGGCAGCCACACGTACCCACACATGCACGTCGTCATATGAGCGCAATATTCTGAAGTACGACATTAAACCCCATTTCACCTTACTGAATGGAATTTTCAGGAGTTGGGCCTGAGCCCCCTGCTCACTGTTAACTATGTGCAGTGTTTACAAACAGATCGTCACTAATTTTTTGAATTTGTGATTTTTTCACTGTCTTCAGCAACATTCCTGCCTAGAGCATGCTTGTACTGAAAAATGATTCACGTGTTTAACACCCTATGATTTATAAGGATATATTCTCTGCCAGGTGGAGCAGGTGCAGCTGGGGATAATGTTGTGCCAGGGTCCGGCTACAATGACTTCACAACCGAGTATGCCAAGTCAGGTCGCAGCACGTGTCGAGGATGTGAAAGCAAGATAGACAAGGTTCACACCTGCTCTGCTGATACATATATATTTTGCACAAAAGAAATTAAAGAATATTTTGGAAGCCTTTTTGTTGCAGTATTTACCAGAAGTGAAAGATAAACTAATGTGATATAAATTGGGTGTTTTCTGACTTAAACATAGATTAGCGTTCTTATGAAGCCATTCTTCAAGTCATGGAAAATGCTTTTACAGTTTGCCTGCCCACCCAAATTTGAGTTTACAGAAGATAATCATATAACATGCCTTTTCTGTAGACCAACCTTAAAATCCAAGAAAAATGTTATGGCTGTTGTCATAGAACTTATTTAGGTCATGATGATTATTCTTACAGGATAGACCAGTGAAGATTCGGGGTAGAATAGGTCTTCAGCAACCCATACTTGCCACAAAAGGCGACTATGCTTGTCATAAGAGGCGACTAACGGGATTGGGTGGTCAGGCTCGCTGACTTGGTTGACACATGTCATCGGCTCCCAGTTGTGCAAATCGATGCTCATGCTGTTGATCACTGGATTGTCTGATTCAGATTCGATTATTTACAGACCGCCGCCATATAGCTGGAATATTGCTGAGTGCGGCGTAAAACTAAACTCACTCACTCACTCACTTACAGGATAATTTGACCCATGAATATCCGGGTTAAAATTGATCTTCAGTAACCCATGCTTGTCGTAAGAGGCGACTAACGGGATCGGGTGGTCAGACTTACTTACAGACCAGGGGTGGAAATAACTTTAAAATTGCTAGTGTACTCCCGGTACAGTGGCACATGAAAATCACTTGCCCTGATTATTTTTCCACTATACCGGCTGTTTTCTTGTTGCTTTTTTATATAAACAACATTATTAACATTGGAAAGTCAACTGGACACCGGTAAAGTGTGATATAAAAATTTGCTTGCCCGACAGAAAAAAACACTGCCACCCCTGCAGACCATTACCATATAGCTGGAATATTGCTGGAGTGTGGCATAAAACTAAACTTTATAGAACAAACTTTATGGATAACAACTTCTTGTTATTCGTGAGTGCGACGTTTCGATACAGATTCTTGTACCGTTGTCAAGCATTATGCTTGACAACTGTATGCTTGACAACGGTACAAGAATCTGTATCGAAACGTCGCACTCACGAATAAAAAGAAGTTGTTATCCATAAAGTTTTTTTCTATAGTGTACTTCCCAACTTCTAAAATGCCACTCAAAGAAAGCTAAACTTATTCACAACAGGATAATTCAAAAGTAAATTAATACTTTTCTTTGAATTTGAATTTTTCTGCTCCCAGGATTCTATCCGAATATCCAAGAAGGACTACAACAGTCAGCGTGCCAAGATGTATGGCCCACAAGATCTGTGGTATCATAGCGAGTGTTTCAAAGAGAACAGAGAAGATCTTGGCTTTGGCAATGACCTCAATGTTGAAAAGTAGGTTTGAGTGTTTCAATGCATTACGGGGCGGTGGGGTAGTCTAGTGGTTAAAGTGTTTGCTCGTTACGCCGAAGACCCGGGTTCGAATCCCCACATGGGTACAACGTGTGAAGCCCATTTCTGGTGTCCCCCGCCGTGATGTTGCTGGAATATTGCTAAGAGCGGCGTAAAGCCAAACTCAGACAGTCAGTCAATGCATTACACCTGTGGGGATTCTATGTATAACTCTAGGTCCCCAGCATCCCCTGCAGCTTGTTGTACGAGATGATTGTATGTATAGGGTGGTGCTCACTCATGGTGAATTGGTTGGTTGCGTGGATCAGTACTCATGATGCCAATCACTGTATTGTATCATCCATACTTGATTATTTACAGACCGCTGTCATAGATCTCAAAATATTGCTTAATTGTTATTAGACGACAGATATAAACTAACTACTGTAAACGTATTATATTTCGCGCAGGTTTTATTTTTGTGCTTTTCGCGCAAAACATTTTAGCGCGAAAATTTATACACCGCGAATAAACCTGTCATTCATTCAGTCTAGCCACGCTCGCCCCTGAGTTGTTACCATAACACATCAAGTTTGAAGACAGAAATCTACGGGAATCTTAAAATGACGACTGATAGTAGCATAAAGAATCATACTTAACTGTCCCTGTAATGGATTTCCCAAAACATAATTACATAATGAGCCAAATCCCATCGCCGAATTAGCGAAAACAGCAATGTGTGTTGTGGCCGCCATGGAAATTGGTCACATGTTCTATTTCGACCAATCGTAGTGACAGATGGTTTGATACAAAACAGATTACCATGAAACCACTCGGAAAGAAATAATACAGCAGTATTTTATTTATTCATTAAGATTTTATTTACCAGTACATCATGAAGCGAATAGTCACTTAACACTCAATCATCTCATTCACAACAACCCGGCTTGTTTGAAATCACAAAGAGCTTCATATACACATTCGCAATGCCATCGTCAGATCGTCAGAATTCGGAACATAAGACTGATGTGTTTTTCATCTCTTTATATACTAGTACTTGCATCACGATATCTCACTTCCTAAGCACTTAATACTTCCGTGAGTAAACGGATTACTGTGTACTAGTATATCGCACAGATAGGGATTTCCTGTGAGTAAGCAATAAACGCTGCCTGACAGGTTAAGCCACTCTGTTTGTTTTCACTGCTATTAGTGGCGGCCAAAGAGACAGCTGGCAGTTCTGGCAATTACTGATTGCGCGAATAATTGACCGCGCGATGTAGTCTAAACTGTCAATTCCGCGAAAATTGCACCACGCGAAAATAAGTACGTTTACAGTATTATTTTATTTTCAACTTTCATATGTTTTTGTATTCTCTGTATCCGTATTCTTGAAGCTTATGAACATTATATACCCTTCTTTTATCTTTATGATCTAATGTTAAAAAGAAACCAGAAAGTATCAGGTGAGCTACATAACCTTTTTCTCTCTTAACTTTAGTGGTACATGAATGGGTGAGTTCATTAGGATTTAAACATTAACATGATTAATACAGTGCTGTAATTGACTGCAAACAAATGAAAAAATTGCTCTTGTCACCCCTTAAGCAAGCTTACCTTTATGTTCTGCACATTTGTTTTAATTTATCACAGTTTGAATCATATGTTTTACATGTTTTGTTTGTGGTGTGATTTTAGGATATTAGGCTTTGGGAAGTTGAAGAAAGAAGACAAAGAAGAACTGATTGAATTGATTGGGAAGGGAGACCCAAAAGCGTAAGTCAGGAGTGTTTCTGAAATGGACAATGTGTCCTTAGACTCCTTACCTATAGTTTGGCATGAAATGCATGTGGACCCGTTTTTTGTAAATATCTGTTCATCTGAATAAGCTTTCATGATGACAGCTAGTAGTAGTCAATGTGAATGATCCAAACGGTCTATCACTGTGCAGTGCACAGGTAACTATCATGAACTGCACGTGCATTTACCTTTATGACCCAACACTGCCGCTGTTACAGGTCATTGGCTCCCTCCCTCTGCAAGCAGTCTGCGTTCTGCTGTTTATTTTGTTGACAGTTACATAGACAGATTCTTTAATACAAATGCATAAAATCGGTGATTTACAATGTGATTAGGTTGTCTGACAAAACATCCACTTGCACAGTTTGAGATCGATTGGGTCATTGGATGAAGAGATATTTACAAAAAAACGGGTCCACATGCATTTCATGCCAAACTATAGGCTTACAGTTTACAGATACCTGTCGGCAATGTCATGCTGCTTACACAGCAGTGCTAGACAGCAGGTGAAGTTTGTTGGGGAGCTTAGTGGTTAAGTGTTGCTCTTCCATTCAAAGGCCTGGGTTTGATTCCCTATATTAGTGTAATGTGTTAAGCACACACTGTTCGGGAGAATATTGTGCCTTAGTCATTTACTAGTTGCGTGGATATGTGCGCTATATAAATATCCAATAATAATTTGTTAGGCACATTATTTATGGAAATTTGTGGATCTTATGCCAAAATATAAACGTACAAATACATTGGCACATATCTGTCAGTAATGGTACATTTATACAACACTTATGCTAGATGTGTGCCTGGCATGTTTTTGGAGCTTGTCTTTCCAAATTCTGAATTTCATCATTTACTGAATGATTTCTTAGACAAATGTTTCATTGGCTACAGATATTCCTAGGAATATAAAAGTTGAGCACTTTTTTGGTTAAATCCTGGCTGAAGCAGTGTTGATAGTTTGGTTTTTTTGGTGCACACTGAATGTGTGATGCAACACACAGATTTTAATTCTGTTTTTTAGGCAAAAGAGGAAAGCTGAAGAAGATAAGGAAAAAGGCAAGAAGAAAGCAAAGAAAGAAGAAACAGAAGAAGAAAAGAACCTGAAAGTCAGTACATTGTTCCGACCAACATGTTTTAATCTGGGGATTATGGGATAGAATAGGTCTGGACCAACATAAGAGGCAACTTAGTAGATCAATGGACTTGGTGGCTTGATTGAGTGCCCTGTGTTTCTGTGTATATGGTTACTGTAACAGTAGGTATTCAGATTGAATTGCCTGAATCTGTGTTCAATTTTGTAAGTAGTAGGAAGGCGTTTCCTATTCTCAGCGGTAATTCTACGGATATCGGCTGAAAAAATAACACAAACAATTCTTATCATATTCATGCTTGTTGTGTTTAAATGAAGGGCCTTCTCGTCTAACATCTACATCTATCAGCTGCCAGATCCATCAGGTGAATTACCACTCGGAGCCCGGTGATAAACAATGTCATTAAGCCATTGACTGAAGCGAGAGGCTTCTCCCATTCTCCGGTATTACCAGGAATTAAGCGTTATTGAGTGTATGAGCAATCCTGCCGGAAAGGGGAAAAAGTAATGATATGTCCAAGTTGGTATAAACTTCCCAATATTCGCGTGACACTGCAAGATTTTGATCACTCACAGACTTGGGCGACTTCCTAGTTTCCAGTCGGTGATGTAAACAACCGCTAAGTGTGCGGCGCATGCATTTCGGCAGAAAGCGTGTTTTACAGCGAGAATAGGAAACCCGAGAATAGGAGGCGTACCTATAATTGCAAGTTGTTGTGTTTTACACATATTCTTCACTTTTATTGTCAATTATTGTATTGGTGGCTCAGTCCTAGGAGGCTGCAGAGTTGCATTCTTTGAATGTGACAGAACCTTATCATCATTGGTCCGAATCATGGTTTGTCCCGATGATTCTACTTTTGTAGACCCTCGTAGATCGAGGTTAGAATTGATCTTCAGTAACCCTTGCTTGTCGTAAGAGGTGACTAATGGGATTGGGTAGTCAGGCTCACAGACTTGGTTGACACAAGTCATCATATCCCAATTTATAGATTGATGCTCATAATGTTGATCACTTGATTGTCTGCGCCAGAGTTGATTATTTACAGACCACCACCATATATCTGGAATATGGCAGCATTATGCAACAAACAAACAACACCGTACCTGTTCTCATTGCTTTCACTAACCAGACCCAATTCTCATTCACTGTTGTTGAAGATAAGCAAACAATTATTGCATGAACGATATAGGGGATTTTAGACAGAGTTTTTTGTTACCAGATAAATCCCTCAGATCAAGTATTGGAAGAAATGCCTAATATGATTTGTTTTCTCACAGGAACAAAGTCAGCTGATCTGGAATATCAGAGACCAGCTGTCGAAGAATGTTTCCAATGAGGCGATGAGGCTTCTCCTGGAGTTGAACAGCCAGAAAATACCATCTGGGAGAGCAAGGTGGATGAATATTGGATGAAAACTTGGACAATAAAGCGTTGTCTTGGTACTATAGTCCGTTACTCGAAAAATAATAAAGATATAATACTCAATGAAACACTGATCATGATCAAAACATCAGACCAACTCTGTTATTTATTTGCAGAATTTATGTCCTAAAATAAAGTTGTTTAACAAACCATCATTAAAATTTTGACAGTTCACTTTATTATTACTACGAGGGAGGAGTGCAAAGAAAGGGACAGCCAGGTGTTAGAAACGCGTGCACAAGTGCCGACAAAGTTATTGATTCATTAACCTGTGCTGTGCTGTCTCCATCCTTTCTCGCACACCTGACTGTCCCTTTCTTTGCACTCCTCCTTCAGTAACAAATAGTGAACTGAGTCAAAAATTTTAATGATAGTTTGTTAAACAACATTTTTATTTTAGGACATAAAATCTGCAAATAAATCACAAGAGTTGGTCTGATGTTTTGATTTTTGATCAGCGTTTCATTGAGTATTATATGTTTCTTATTTTTCGATTTAGATTGCAATTCATCAGTCCCTTTTTGAGCCAAACGGACTATAGTGATGGGAATTGGTTGAAATCTCACAATTGATGAGTTGGTTCATTACCAGCTTAAGCAATCATTGAAAAAAATTATGTGCATCATTTTCAGATTTTCCTATTTAGGTTGTTGATGCAGATAAGAATATCATGGTTCTCTGTTGTTTTTGTTTTATTTAGAAAATGAGACTTCAAGAAATAATCAGTCATGACTTTCAATAAGGAAGTGAATTTTTCTAAGAATTAAACATGTTTTCAGGCCCCTGACAACTTCTAAAGATATGTTTCATTGTCAAGTGTTTCCCAAACACTAAAACAGTAGTTCCAAAATCGTTTCTGTTCTCGATTATGAAGAAATGTGATAGATTGATTTGGTGAATTTGGTTTCTCGAAACAAACTTTGGATTATTTCAATTAATCGGAACGCCACTACACAATACAGTATTTAGTAGTGTGTTACTTTAGACCATATTTCAGTTTCTGAACAGGATTTACATAGAGAAGCATAATTTTTGCTTTAGTCTGAAACCTTGTGTCAAACATGTGGGGAGGTAGGAAACAGTTTGAGTTGCTTACATGGTGAGTGAGTATTGCTCAACGCTTGCATCATCAGTTTTGCAGACCAGCAGAGTTATTGTGGCTTCTGAACAACCAACAGAGTAAATGTTTAAAAAATGTCATTAATACGAGAGAATATTTCTAGGTCTTATCTTCAAGCAAAAAACTAGGTTTCAAGATTAACACAAATACCAGTGACCATTCTGGTGGCTAGCCCTTTGATGTTATTATTTTGGGGTAGAAGCTGTCTTTTGATGTTATTATTTTAAGGTCAGTCCATAGTGTATGAAGTGATTTGAAAATTTCCAGACAGGTGTGGGCTTGTGAACATTAATATTTATTTTGAACTGTTCGAGCTCATTGTGGGAATTTTAGTTTAATTTGGAAACTTTGAACTCCAAATCGTTTAAGACCTGTGGAAATTCACACATCCCAAAATGCCTAAAATATACTTTTAATTTTAAAATTACTTCACATCCTGCAAAGGATAATGCTGTGAGCAATTTTGAATATAATCTTTGATATCTGACTAGTGAGTATTACCTTAACCTTGCATAATTGACACCACTTCCTGTTTATTATTCAGCCTGCTATGGACGCTGTGGCTGATGTGATGACGCGTTTGGGTCCTTGGAGCCCTGTACCGAAAGTGCTCAGAGGGGCAGCTGGTGTACTCGTGAGTACAGCTTACATTGAAGTGCCATACACATATAGTTTGTTTATATCATGTATATTGTATTTTGTAAGTTATATCATAGTGTGAGTGTTGCTGGGGAAATTGTGGTGTTTCTTCATTGAGTAGAGATCTGATTGTAAGTCATGTGAGGAGTTGCTTGCATACCCAGTGTTGTGCCGTAAAGCGCATGGCTTGTGAGAATCACTTAAATAATTTCTTCATATGGCTTATATAATTTCTTACATTTTGTCCCTAGCACGTCGGCGTGCTGTTTCTAAAGAAACCCACTTCATAGAGAAAGCCATCTAGCTTTATTAATATGCTGTGATTAAACTCGTGTTAAACTTATTTTTCATCTGCAATGCTTGACAAACAAACAACGCAATATTTATGCAGCCATTTTGAATGCATTAGCTCTTCCAGCCAATCAGATTCATCGTTACTGCAAATCTATCGTCAGTTTCATGAAAAGTGAATGCTATTTATCAAGCCAATGAAATGATTTGTTATATATTTGGCTTACACATGATGCGTCAAGCATGTCACTATTGTCAGAGAGCACGTCTGCCAATCATTGACCTGTTTTGAATTTTGAGCATGTTCAACCTATCAAAGTTGATAATTATGCATGTATCAAAATGGCAGTAAATGAATAATGTTTTCTTTTTTACTTCCATGTTTTGACATCATAAGGGATAAATATTTCAAGTTTGAAAACGCTAAGGATGATCTTACCACTCTTAATTTTCATTTTAATTATTGCTTTTTAAAAAGAAATTGATTTAATTGAGGAATTTTGATTAATATGTTCTATAGATAGATGCATTTTAATGATTGGTAGTTTAGATTTCAGTAACCTAGATTGTTGAGTGAAATGTACCCTCAAGGGGGTTAATGTATTGTAAAATTATTGTCTTCCTGGAAGTCATGCGTAAGTCCCCGAAACATTTCGAGAGCAATTTAAATTTACCAGATTTTTACATGTAACATTTTTGACATTTTAAGTTTTGGCTAAATTTGACCCGAAACCGCCAGCTGCTGAAGGGTTGAAATAAAGTAAGCCAAAGTACTGTAAGTCCCCATGGTCCCTAGTATGGGTGATCAGCCATCAGTTGCTGGTGATCTATAGCCTGTTTTTATATTGCATTGTTGTTCCATAAGTGTCTATCTTTTTATGATGGCATACTAGTTTTAGGATTATAAGAGCTGCTTGATACTCTAGTAGTTTCTGCCGTCTTTCGATGACAGATTTTTATGTTCTCTAATTTATTGACTTTTAATGTTGATATAAATTAAATTGTTCTCGTCAATGATATGGCTGTAATATTGCCGATGTAGGCATAAAATATTAACTCACTCCACTCCATGTATTGAAATTTTTCCACTAAGGACCACCTCTAAATTTTCTGGTGTCCCTTAAAATCATATACATGTAGGGGGCCTTGAATGACCCATTTTTCAAACCGAAGAAGAAACACTGTTACTATTGGTGTACACGAAAATCGTGAAGTGTATTTATTAGATTTGCATTCCACTTCAAAACATGCCATCCTGATATTGAGTTAATTCCATGTCTTAAGGAGTTGTGTGAGTGAAGAGATAACATACGTATGTTAAACTGTTATGGGAGTGAAGGCTACAAAGTGTACAGGGAACATGACTGGAGTGGACAAAGTGTATGAATATTACAAAGGCGTAAAAGAGGAAGCCATTCAAAGTGCCTAAAGGAATTTCATACGTGATCAATTGAGGCTTTTGTAAGTTATCAATTCTGTATATTTATATTTTTAGTCTCTCAGTTCTCAAAACCTTAGTATACCTTGTGATATTCTTGGTGAGGAAAATATCCCGAAGCACTTCACTGTTTGTTGAAATCTGAAGGTGGCTCAAATGTAACGGTCCCGATGAGCCTCTGTGTTTGCATCTTCTCAGGTTCAGACCCAACACATCAATTCAATCAGGGGCAGTTAAGGTAGCCTAGTGGTTAAAAGTGTTTGCTTCAAGTCATGCCAAAGACCGGGTTCGATCCTCCCACATGGGTACAATATGTGAAGCCCATTTTGAGTATCCCTGCCATGATACTGTTGGAATATTGCTAAAGCCGTAAGGCTTCAAACTTCAGTCAGTCAGTCAGTCAGTCAGTCAGGTCGGTCACTCTCACTGATTTGTCTTTGTCTTTAAACCAGTTCTTCCAAGCACATTCTGCCATCATTTAGCTGTGATACTTCCTGACTACAGTGTTTGATTTGCAATAAAGAAAGAATGTGCTGTTTTGCCCCATTATTTATATGCAGTTGCAGGGAGCAAGATCCCTACAAATATAGAGGCTTTAATAAACAGATTGATTGATGATAAAATGAAGTTGAGATACATTCTTATTCACAATCTCAAAGCTGCGAATATTGTTTATACAAAACAATTTAACACTGTCAGCCCAGTATTCTGGAAGAATATTTGTCTTATGATTTTCTCATACTTGTTCACATGCTTTCAAAGATTACTATTTCAATTCATTTATTTTGTTACTTTACAGGTCAGGTAAAATGAGAACATTTTATAATTAAAGCCACACATTCTGTGATGTTGACATAGTATTCTTCAAATATTTGTTCCAGAAAGAAGTACAAATTATATTGAAGCTGTCATCCAGAAATTCTCAACAGCTGAACGTTCAGTCCAACTGAGGGAACCAGTCAGTTCCATCAATGGACACCGTAGATGGAAGAGGTAAGTTTAAGAATGTCCTGTAATTGTATCGTCCATTACCACCAACCAACCAGCCTCCGGCTCCTTGCGTTTTAGTTTCTTCACAAGATGGGTGATCATAGAATACCCTCAAAGTATGTTTGCTTCCACTCTGTGTAACCTGTTTAGTGTCATCATCGGTGGTTTCATCAAGATTTCAACTGCACCAAAAATTATTTTGTTGTTCTTGTTTCATTTTCACTCCCTATACATGAGAAAAAATTAATTTAAATAAAGTGGGCATGTTTCTTGTCAGAAATCTACCACAAAAGATCTTTAGTTAGAGCTGGTCTTTCAGCAACCCATGCTTGTTGTAAGATGGGACTAACGGGATCGGATGGTCAGAATGCGCTGACTTGGTTGACCCATGTCATTGTATCCCAATTGGTGGAGCCGGTGCTCATGTTGTTGATCACTGGATTGTCTGATCCAGATTTGATTATTACAGACCAGCGCCCATATAGCTGAGTATTGCTGAGTGGCATTAAACTCCAGTCTCTCTCACTACTTGGATTTGTCATTCACAATTGCAGCGAAGTGCAAGCAGTAGTGGATCATTGACTACAGTCCTTGGAGAACATGAGGTTTGTGGATGCGGCTGGAAGGCAGGCGAAATCCAAAGCAGCCCTCAGCAAGGAAATCTCTAAGTATGGGAGGAACTGTTGTGGGCAAAGTGGATCAAACTGTGGCAGCTGTCATCAGCACTGAAGGGTGAGGAGAGCATGTAGAGGCACAAATTTAGATTTTGGTACAACACTGGGAAGATCTAGGTTAGAATTTGTCTTCATGCAACTCATGCACTTGTCATAAGAGGAAACTAATGAGATCCAAAGTGGTCAGGAGCTTGGCTGGAGCAGATTGATGCTCAATGATGTTGATCACTGGATGAGTCTGGTCCAGACTCGAATTAATTCCATGTAGCTGGAATGGTGTGCTGGAGTGACATTAAACAACAAACAAGATTTTGGTACAAAACCAGTTTGCTATTATAATGATCATACAGAAGAGGATCTTAGGTTTGAATTTGTCTCCAACTGTAAAACTATACTGGTCTTGGAGATAGTGTATTTAATGCAGATGTGTGTGAAGTATCAGATTGTCTCAAAATGTTATTGATGTATCAGTAGAATTGCATCATTCCTAGTAATTACTAAGAATCATCAGAAACTGCTTATGGACCAAAACTCCTAGGTTTTGTGGTGACACTCTCAAATCCCCGCCGTCATCTCATGGAAGATGCAATATATAATGTCTTTATGCACTCCTACAGGGCTCCTCGACATTCATGCTATCCCAGGGCTCCAGATAAGGACTAAGTATCGGGCGCATGTCTGGGATAAAAATATGCTGCGAATACGGTAGGGAAATAATTTAGAAAGCGTTAGCACATAATGCCATCCACAACAATGCTGTCACGGTCTTGGAATCATTTACAGATGTATTTATCTGAAGAGTGCTGTTTTATTGATTATTGACCCGTTACACAACAGTAACAATGTTGTGGTGCATATATAAAAGCGAAACACAAGATTACTGATAATGCCATTAAATTCCATTCAGTTACTCAAAATGCACTCTTCGGAGGTTTATCCAGTACTCTATATTGAAAAAAATAAAAGTGTACATGACTCTGATGTTGAAAAATTATCTGGAGCCCTGCTATCCCACTGGCCTGGGTCTAGTAAATGTTGACAGTACCAGTGCAACTTTGATAAGTAGTATCCCGACGGTCTAGTAGATATTTAAAGGCTGTCAATAAGAATCTCTCAGCAGGGCCAGTAAGAATCTATGGGAACCAGTGATTGTTAAAGTTCGGTTCCTGTGGTCTTGTCGGGAATTTGGGTGCAAATGTCAAGCCCCTGTCCTAGTGTTGTTGTTTTTAGATATTGTTAGTATCTTGTTATATTTGTTGCAGATGAAGTGGATAAAAAGCAAAAGAAAGCATCAAGGATGCTCAAAAATCTGATGCGTACATGTTGTTGCTGAAAGCTTTTGGAAGAAGTCAAGAAGGTGCAGGGCTGCCCTGATGATCCAGAAGCACAGTATATCCACGTGGGGAGCTGATGTGAGTGTTACTGGCTTGTAAGCTTGTTGGCATATACAAAAGTGTTAGAGGCAAATATGGCTACTCGACATTTCTAGACAATCAAACATGTGGGATATCTTTATAAATCATCACTGTATGTTAATATAACTACCATCGCTAGCCCTAACAAATCATCACTAACTCTGGCAAAGCCCGGGGTTTGCTGGGCTGCCACAACAAAGAATAGTTTTGATGTTTGTTGCGTTGACTGTTCTTGGCGTCTTCCTCCTCCTCCTCCTCCTCCTCTCTCCTCCTCTCCTCCCTCTTTCTTCCCCAAGTACATGTGTACCAAATTGATGACACCTGTACCTCCCGGAACAAATTAGGGTGGAACCCACACACACCCCACAAAATCATCATTCCTCACCCCCTCCCCATGAGACCCTCATTAACTTTTACACGTTATATAAACTGGAATAACTATTCAAAACAGAGTTTCACCAAACTCACTGTTTGAATGACTTCATTTACTTTGGTTTTTGTGTGCTTTCACCAGCAAATGTTGTTTCGAGTCAAATAATTGGTACTAAAATGGATGTCTTGGCATTCTCGTGTTTGGTGAGGAGTCATAGCTTGTTTTGGCATGATGATAACTGGCTTGAAAGTTACTCTATCTTGTATTTCAGCCAGTTGATAGAATCGCTGAGCCAGAGATCTCAGCATTGTGAAGAAGAGTATGGCAAGAAGAGTGGCATGAGTGCCAAGGATGGTGAGAATATGATACCCTTCAAATTTTGAGCTTCTCTGATCAATTGATTTTATGGATAATTGGTTGGTTTCCAGCTCAAGTTATAAATAATAAATCACTGTAGACTGAATTTATAACTGTTGTCAAGCTGCAGAATTCGGAAGACAGATTTTGGATGGTAAACAGAGAATCTCACAAACTCCTTAGGATTTTTAAACTTACACTAACCAGACCCAATTCTCTCATTCACTGTTGTTGAAGATAAGCAAACAATTATTGCATGAACGATGTAGGAGATTTTGACTGAGTTTTTTGTTTTCAGATAAATCCTTCAGATCAAGTATTGCAAGAAATGCCTAATATGATTTGTTCTCTCATTATGGGAACAAAGTCAGCTGATCTGGAATATCAGAGACCAGCTGTCGAAGAATGTTTCCAATGAGGCGATGAGGCTTCTCCTGGAGTTGAACAGCCAGAAAATACCTTCTGGGGAGAGCAAGGTGAATATTGGGTGAAAACTTTGACAGTAAATGTTGTCTTGGTACTAGGGATGGGAATTGGTTGAAATCTCACAATTGATGATTGGTTCATTGCCAACAAGCAATCATCGAAAAAAATTGGTTTGCTTCATTTTCACATTTTCCTATTTAGGTTGTTGATGCAGATAAGAATATCATGGTTCTCTGTTGTTTTTTGTTTTATTTAGAGAATGTGCAAATTGCTACATCTCATATATCATGAACATCATGAGACTTCAAGAAATAATCAGTCATGACTTTTCAGTAAGTGAAGTGAATTTTCTAAGAATTAAACATGTTTTCAGGCCCTGACAAATTCTAAGATATGTTTCATTGTCAAGTGTTTCAAACACTAAACAGTAGTTCCAAAATCGTTTGTTTTGAGTATGAGGAAATGTGATCGATTGCTTGGTCATTTAGTCACTGCGACCAATCTTTGATTATTTCCAATTAATCGAACACCACTACTTGGTACAGTATTTGTAGTAGTGTGGTTTTAGACCATATATCAGTTTCTGAACTGGATTTTACATAGGGCTAATTCTTTGCTTTAGTCAAACCTGTGTCAAACATGTGGGAAGTGGGAAACAGTTTGAGTTGCCATGGTGAATGAGTATTGCCTCAACGCCGCATCAGCAGTTTTGCAGACCAGTAGAGTTATTGTGGTTTCTCGACAACCAACAGAGTAAATGTTTAAAAACCTAATGTCATTATGAGAGATTATTTCTAGGTCTTATCTTAAAGCAAAACTAGGTTTCAAGATTAACACAAATACCAGTGACCATTCTGGTGGCTAGCAAGGGAAAGATTAAGGGTGATGGGATGAGGGTGTCAACTAAAGAGGGTGTCAACTCGGGTGTTTAATTGATCTCACTGTGTATGGGTTGGTGCCGTGGTATAAGTGTAACTTCGAATATTTGATTCATCATCATGATCTTAGTCTTGTTTTCCTTGTTTCTCAGTTAACCCGTCAACAGCAGTCACTTTAGTACACTTCAGTAATTTGCTGCTGTTGTCTATACATTACTCAGCTTTCACCTTTGATCGAAGCTGTACTTCTTAATTAGGCTCGATTTGATTTTCATGCAGTTAGAAAGCATCGTGCCTTTGATGTTATTATTTTAATGTCAGTCCATTGTGTATGAAGTGATTTGAAAATTAGACAGCTGTGGGCTTGTGAACATTAATATTTATTTTGAACTGTTCAAGCCATTGTGGGACTTTTTAGTTTAATTTGGAAACTTTGAACTCCAAATGCGTTTAAGACCTGTGGGAATTCACACATCCCAAAATGCCTAAAATATACTCTTAATTTTAAAATTACTACATTCTGCAAGGATAATTCTGTCAGCAATTTTGAATATAATCTTTGATATCTGACTAGTGAGTATTACCCACCTTGCATAATTGACACCACTCCTGTTTGTATTCAGCTTATGGACGCTGTGGCTGATGTGATGACGTTTGGGTCCTTGGAGCCCTGTACCGAGTGCTCAGAGGGGCAGCTGGTGTACTCGTGAGTACAGCTTACATTGAAGTGCGCCATACACATATGGTTTGCTTATATCATGTATATTGTATTCTGTGTTATATCTTAGTGTGAGTGTTGCTTAAATTGTGGTGTTCGCTTGAGTAGAGCTCTGATTGTAAGTCATGTGTGAGAGTTGCTTGCATACCCAGTGTTGTGCCGTAAGTGCAGGCTTGCTGCAATCACGCAAATAATTTTTCACATGGCGCATAAATCTTCTTAAATTGTGTCCCTAACGACGCGTGCTGTTTCTAAAGAAACCTACTTTCATAGAAAGTTATCACTTTATTAATATGCTGTGATTAAACTTCGTGGTTAAACTTATTTTTCATCTGCAATACTTGACAAACAAACAACGCAATATTTATGCCGCCATTTTGAATGCATTAGCTCTTGGCCAATCAGATTCATCGTTGCAAATCTATGGGTCAGTTTCGGTCAGTGAATGCTATTTATCAGCCAATGAAATGATTTGATATATATTTGGCTTACACATGATCATCAAGCATGTCACTATTGTCAGAGAGCATGTCGGCCAATCAGTGACCTGTTTGAATTTTGAGCATGTTCAACCCATCAAAGTTGATAATTATGCATGTCAAATGGCAGTGAACTTATGTTTTCTTGTTTACTTCCATGTTTTGACATCATAAGGGATAAATTTTTCAGTTTGAAAACCGTTAAGGATCTTTTTACCACTGTTAATTTTCATTTAATTATTGCTTTTTTAAAAGAAATTGATTTAATTGAGGAATTTTGATTAATATGTTCATTAGATAGATGCATTTTAATGATTGGTAGTTTAGATTAGTAACTTAGATTGTTAGTGACTGTACCCTCAAGGGGGGTTAATGTATTGTAAAATTATTGTCCTCCTGAGAGGGTACGTAAGTCCTGAAACATTCAAAGGCAATTTAAATTGACCAGATTTTTGAATGTAGCATTTTTGTCATTTTAAGTTTGGCTAAATTTGACCAAAATCGCCAGCTGCTGAAGGGTTGAAATAAAGTAGCCAAAGTACTGTAAGTCCCCATGGTCCCTAGTATGGTGATCAGCCTTCAGTTGCTGGTGATCTATAGCCCGTTTTTATATTGTATTGTTGTCTATAGTGATATCTTTTTTATGATAGCGTACTAGTTTTAGATTAAGAGCTGTGATACTCTAGTAGTTTTACTGTCCTTCGATGACAGATTTTTTATGTTCTCAATTTATTGATTTTAATGTTGATATAAATTAAATTGTTCTCGTCACGATATGGCTGTAATATTGCCGATGTGACATAAAATATTAACTCACTCACTCCATGTATTGAAATTTTCAGGACCACCTCTAAATTTTCTGGTGTCCCTTAAAATCATACATGTAGAGGCCCTTGGGCCCATATTTTCCAAAACTGAAGAACAACACTGTTACTGGTGTACATAATCGTAAAGTGTATTTATTAGATTTGCATTCCCTTCAAACATGCCATCCTGATATTGAGTTAATTCCATGTCTTAAGGAGTTATTGTAGTGAAGAGATAACATACATGTTAAACTGTTATAGGAGTGAAGGCTACAAGTGTACAGGGAACATGACTGAGTGGACAAAGTGTATGAATATTACAAAGACGCCAAAGAGGAAGCCATTCAAAGTGCCTAAGGAATTTCATGATGTTGACTTTTTGTAAGTTATCAATTCTGTATATTTTTAGTCTCACGTTCTCAAAGCAGTGCCCCTTGTGATATTCTTGGTGAGAAAATATCCCAAGCACTTCACTGTTTGTTGAAACTGGTGGCTAAATGTATCGGTCGGTGAGCCTCTGTGGTTGCATCTTCTCAGGTTCAGACCCAACACATCAATTCAATCAGGGAGCAGTTGAGTAGCCTAGTGGTTAAAGCGTTTGCTTGTCATGCCAAAGGCCGGGTTTGATCCTCCACATGGGTACAATATGTGAAGCCCATTTTTTGTATCCCCTGCCATGATACTGCTGGAATATTGCTAAAAGCAGCGTAAAACCAAACTCAGTCAGTCAGTCAGTCAGTCAGTCACTCTCACTGATTTGTCTTGTCTTAAACCAGTTCTTCACATTCTGCCATCATTTAGCTGTAATACTTCTGACTACAGTGTTTGATTTGCAATAAAGAAAGAATGTGCTGTTTCGTGTGTATAGTTGCAGGGAGCAAGATCCCTACAAATATAGAGGCTTTAGCCAACAGATTGATTGATGATAAAATGAAGTTGAGATACATCTTATTCAGAATCTAAAGCGAATATTGTTTATACAAACAATTTAACACTGTCAGCCCAGTATTCTGGAGTGTCTCAATTTTCACAGAAGATTTGTCTTATGATTTCTTATACTTGTTCACATGCTTTCAAAGATTACTATTTCATTCATTTATTTTGTTACTTTAGGTCAGGTAAAATGAGAACATTTTATAATTAAAGCCACACATTCTGTGATGTTGACATAGTATTCTTCAAAATATTTGTTCAGAAAGAAGTACAAGTATGTGAAGCGTGTCCGCGTGTTCCCAACAGTGACCGTTCGGTCAACTGAGGGGCCAGTCAGTTCATCAATGGACACTGTAGATGGAAGGTAAGTTTAAGAATGTCTTGTAATTGTATCGTCAGTACCACCAACCAACTTGTACTCCATGCTTCGTTTTCGTTCTTCACAAGATGGAATGTGAATACCTCAAAGTATGTTTGCTTCCACTCTGTGTAACTTGTTTAGTGTCAACATTGGTGGTTTCATCAACGTTTCAACTGCACCGAAATTATTTTGTTTTTCTTGTTTCATTTTCACTCCTATACATGAGAAAAAATAAATTTAAATAAAGTGGGCATGTTTCTTGTCAGAAATCTACCACAAAAGATCTTGGTTAGAGCTGGTCTTCAGCAACCCATGCTTGTTGTAAGATGGGACTAACGGGATCGGATGGTCAGGCACGCTGACTTGGTTGACACATGTCATTGTATCCCAATTGCGTAGACCGATGCTCATGTTGTTGATCACTGGATTGTCTGATCCAGATTTGATTATTTACAGACCAACGCCATATAGCTGGAGTATTGCTGAGTGGCATTAAACTAAATTCTCTCACTACTTGATTTGTCATCACAATTGCAGCAGTGCAAGCAGTAGTGGATTGACACAGTCCTTGGAGAACATGAGGTTCGTGATCGCTGGAAAGACAGGCAAATCCAAAGCAGCCCTCAGCAAGGAAATCTCTAGTATGGGAGGAACTGTTGTGGGCAAAGTGGATAAAACTGTGGCAGCTGTCATCAGCACGAAGGGTGAGGGAGAGCACATGTAGGCACAAATTCAGATTTTGGTACGACACAGGAAGATCTGGGTTAGAATTTGTCTTCAGCAACTCATGCTTGTCATAAGAGGAAACTAATGAGATCGAGTGGTCAGGCTTGCTGAGTAGATTGATGCTCATGATGTTGATCACTGGATAGTCTGGTCCAGACTCGAATTATTTCCATGTAGCTGGAATATTGCTGGGTGCGGCATTAAACAACAAACAAGATTTTGGTACAAAACCAGTTACTATTATAATGATCATACAGAGAGGATCTTAGGTTTGAATTTGTCTCCAGCAAACTATACTGGTCTTGGAGATAGTGTGTGTTAATGCAGATGTGTGTGAAGTATCAGATTGTCTCAAAATGTTATTGATGTATCAGTAAATTGCATAATTCCTAGTAATTACTAAGTCATCAGCGCTTACAACATGGACCAAAACTCCTAGGTTTTGTGGTGACACTCTCCGTCCTGCGTCATCTCATGGATGATGCAATATGTTGTCTTATGCACTCCTACAGGGCTCGACATTCATGCTATCCCAGGGCTCCAGATAAGGACCGTATCGGCGTATGTCCGGATAAAAAATATGCACGATACGGTAGGAAATAATTTAGAAAACGTAGCACATACGCACCACAGCAATGCTGTACGGTCTTGGAATCATTTACAGACGTATTTATCTGAAAGAGTGCTGTTTTATTGATTATTGACCTGTTACACAACAGTAGCAATGTTGTGGTGCATATATGAAACGAAACACAAGATTACTGATACGCCATTAAATTCCATTCAGTACTCAAAATGTACTCTTAAGTTTATCCAGTACTCCTATATTGAAAAAATAAGGAGTACGTACTCCTGATGTTGAAAAATTATCTGGAGCCCTGCTATCCCACTGGCCCGGGTCTAGTAAAATGTTGACAGTACCGGTGCAACTTTGATAAGTAGTATCCCGACGGTCTAGTAGATATTTAAGGCTGTCAATAAGAATCTCTCAGCAGGGCCAGTAAGAATCTGTAAGGACCAGTGATTGTTAAAAGTTCCGGTTCCTGTGGTCTTGTCCGGGAATTTGGGTAAATGTCAAGCCCTGTCCTAGTGTTGTTTTAGATATTGTTAGTATCTTGTTATATTTGTTGCAGATGAAGTGGATAAAAAGAGCAAAAGCATCAAGGATGCTCAAAAATCTGATGTACATGTTGTTGCTGAAAGCTTCTTGGAAGAAGTCAAGAAAGGTGGGGCTGCCCTGATGATCCAGAAGCACAGTATAGCCACGTGGGGAGCTGATGTGAGTGTTACTGGCTTGTGTTGCTGGCATATACAAAAGTGTTAGAGGCAAATATGGCTACGACATTTCAGACAATCAAACATGTGGGATATCTTTGTACGTCATCACTGTATGTTAATGTAACTAGAAGCTAACGACCCTAACAAATCATCACTAACTCTGGCAAGCGGGGTTTGTGACTGCCCACAGCAAAGAATAGTTTTGATGTTCGTTGACTGTTGCGCGTCTTCCTCCTCCTCCTCCTCCCCCCTCCCCCCCTGCAAGCCCTAGTACATGTGTACCAAATTGATGACACCTGTACCTCCCCGAAACAAATTGGGTGGAACCCCCACACCCTCAAAATCATCATTCCCACCCCCTCCCCATGAGACCCTCATTAACTTTACACGTTATATAACTGGAATACTATTCAAAACAGAGTTTCACCAAACTCACTGTTTGAATGACTTCATTTACTTGGTTTTTGTGTGCTTTCACCAGCAAATGTTGTTCCGAGTCAAATAATTGGTACTAAAATGGATGTCTTGGCATTCGTGTTTGGTGAGGGTCATAGCTTGTTTTGGCATGATGATAACTGGCCTGAAAGTTACTCTATCTTGTATTTCAGCCGGTTGATAGAATCGCTGAACCAGAGATGCGTGTGAAGAAGAGTATGGCCAAGAGTGGCATGAGTGCCAAGGATGGTGAGAATATGATACCCTTCAAATTTTGAGCTTCTCTGATCAATTGATTTTATGGATAATTGGTTGGTTTCAGCTCAAGTTATAAATAATAAATCACTGTAGACTGGTTATAACTGTTGTCAAGCTGCAGAAATTGGAAGACAGATTTTGGATGGTAAACAGAATCTCACAAACCTTGGATTTTTAAACTTACATTAACATGTGTTGATATATTTGATGTAAATAAACATATGGGTGACATCCATGATATACATGGGGCTCACAGGCTTCCAAAAGAGTTTGTCTGGACATGTGTTTTCAGGACACAAATGCCTTGATTGAGTTTGAAAACGGAAACTGTGTTACACTTCGTTACAGAGTTATGGCCCTTGTCATGCATTTCTTGACTTGGTGCATGGTATCCTCAATGGGGACAGATTTTCTCAAAAAACGTTATAGATAGGGAAACCAAATGTGGTATGTGTTTTCAGGACACGAATGCCTTGATGGAGTTTGCAAACAGAAACAGTGTAATGATTCTTTACAGAGTTATGGCCCTTGTCATGCATTTCTTGACAGTGCACATTATCCCCAACTGGAACTCATAAACCATTATAGATAGGGAAACCAGATGTGGTATGTGTTTTTAGGACATGTCATGTTAGAGTTAAAAATCAAGAACAGAAACAGAATACTGTGGCAGGAGATATTGATGACTTGTCTTGGTTTTTTAATGCTTATATAAAAACACAATTGTGTGAAAAACCATGAATGTATGCAGTAATGATATAGGATAACAAGTGATTTAAACTTCATAGCTGATTTTGCATATCTCATTTGTATGACGAATTGCGCATTACTGAAAAATGTAATGTAATCTGATTATATTTACATGGAAATTGAATACAAATACCTTGAAACACCTTGAAAACAGCAGTGAATTTGTTGAGCATAAATCTGAACGAACACAACCAGCATGTTTACATGGAAGAAGATACACGGTGCACACTGAGGTCAGTGTAACAGTCTCTTTGTCTTCCTAGATAAAACCCCTCTCTGATGACTGTGATATTGAAGGCACTATCACAGACAGATACGGAGTGGACAAACTCACTAAGGATCAGTATTTGAGGGTAAAAATGTATCACAATATATTACGATACACAAGTCTGTATTGTGATACGTATAACGATAAGGGGGGCACTATCAATGTTACAAGAGTGTTATATCAATACTTTGATGCATAAAAAGTAATCTGTAAAAAAAACAAAAATACCTGGCTGGTATAGTGGAAAACTTATCAGGGCAAGTGATTTTACATGTGCCACTGTACCGGAGTACACTAGCAATTTTACAGTTATTTCCACCCCTGGTAGTGTTCTTCTAAAACACGAATGTGTGGTGGTCTACACACATTGCGGTTGTATTTTCAGAGGCGATGTACACCAAAAGTGTTCCGGCCAAGTTGAAGATGAAGGTGAAAGGTGGAGCTGCAGTGGATCCTGACACAGGTGAGACATTGTCCTCATATTGTGGGGAGCTGGGCACTCCTACATTTATGTTGCATTAGAAGCCACAGGATTGACTTGTAGTATAGGCTTTATCTTAGCTAGATAAGGTTACTTAACAGGTCTGTTAGGCCGTCTGTATTTTTTTCTGTGTTTCTCATCTCCCGACTGACCCAAATATTTATTTTACAAAATGCCGCCGACAGCTATAATTTCAGCCCGATCAAACGAAAAATGTGTCTTAAAAGTCAACTTTGAAAAAAATATAACATATTGAAAAGTCTCTCAAGCATCTAAATGGGCGATCTTTTTGAATTTATCTTCCCTTCACTAATCCGCTTGGAGCACTGATCCGGACGGTCCAACCTTAAACTGACAGCGCATGTCTTAGGCGCGATGGGAGCTGTTCTTGTTACTAAACACTTAGAGACATTTAAGCCTTCACCGTCACCGTTAACGTTCACGCTGGTGCATATGGACAGTATATCTTTTCCCATGACCGATGATATATCAAGTGTGATATCCTGAAATATTTGTTATGTGACTCCATGATACACGTTTTGCAATCGGTAATTAAAATCTGGCTCTAGATGTCTGAATATCACACATTTTCAAACTTATCCTATCTCACGACTTGCACCTCTCACTTGCTTCGACTTTTAGTGGAACGACTGTAAACTTTTTTTCCATAGGCCTCCTTGTCCATTCGCCTGTGCACTCCATGCTGCTCTCCTTAATTAGCTTCCTAGTTCCTAATAAAGCTTGCAGCATGCTCCACTAATTGCCCACGTGACTACCTTGAATGATCAGTCTCTTTCTTGTCGCACGACTGTGTGGACGTGCTGTATATTAGGGACATTATTTCACCCTAACATCATGGGAAAACTGATAATCAGTCAAGGAAAGGGAAAGTTTGTGCTCAATGCAAGACAAATTATTCGTCCCTCGACCCTCACTTGTCTTGCAGTGACTGTATTGGACAATGTAACTGGAACAAACGATGTGGCAAGTGTAATTCATTAAAAGATGAGGATTTTAAGGCCTAACTTCGTGTTTGCTCCTGGAGAATCGCTGATAGGGACAGGAAATCAACAGAATCTGATCCCAATCCCGCCAAGCGTATCAAGTTACAGCGACAGAAAACTGTACCTTCACGCAAGAGAGCGACGTCTGTGGTTCAAGAGGATTTTATGGACGCTTCATCAGATTCTTACTTATCTAAGGACGTTCGGCACCTATTAGGTATGCATCAATCACCTCCTTCCATAGCTTCAGATCACTCGTGGGTGGTTGTGATCGACAATTCTTCTTATTGCCTTCGGAAATAACATAAGGGCTGATATATAAAGTGAGTTTACATTATTTCATAGATGCCACGACACCCGAGACTTACACTTTCTCGTGTTCTGTCGTAAGAAATGCTGTGACAATATATACCGATTTTTCATGGCGTTTTCCCGTTATCTTCTATCGTGTCAATTCGTATTGCTCTTGGAAATTAAACAAACTGTGGACCTGCAACCAGTGAGCTACCAGTGGATGATAGCCTTTGACCGGTGGCCAAAAAAACTACAAAAAGGAATAAATCTCTCCAAAATAAAGTGCCAGTTTTGAAGAACTGACTTTGTTGTATTCTGATCCAATTTGACATTTAAAGAGGCTCTATTAAAAGTTTGTAGATACACCTTGGCTATATACGGATGATGTGAAGACTGCAAAATCTGCAAGTAGGAAAGCCGAGCGCAAGTGGAGAAAAACTAAACTTGAAGTCTATCGCCAGATATGTGTCTCTGCCAGGAATGCTTCCAATAAGACAGTTAGACAAGCAAAACGCACATATATGAATGCTAAAATCGAGGAAAGTACATCTGATCACCAAGGCACTGTATAAACTTATGTTCTCCCTGATGGGTAGAAAGACTGATCCATCCTTGCCTTCTGGTGACGTAACCTTGGAAATAGCAGAACGATTTTCAACCTATTTCTGCGACAAGATCGAGGCGATTCGTCAGCAGTTTGATGACGTCACCGAGGACAACGATCCTGTCAAATTTCAGAATAATCGTTTATCTGTTTTTCAACCGTTCTCTGAAGCCGAAACTCTGAAGTTGATTAGAAGATCTAAACCAACTACTTGTCCCTTAGATCCCCTTCCTACGACGCTTATTATCGACAACATTGACATCCTCCTTCCAGTTGTGACATCATTGGTCAACCTCAGTTTAGCCAATGGAATCATGCCAAACTCTTTGAAAACTGCACTTGTCAAACCTCTCTTGAAAAAACCTGGCCTAGACTGTGATATATTAAAGAACTATCGTCCGGTTTCCAACCTTCCATACATTTCAAAACTCATTGAGAGAGCTGTGTGCCAACGTCTATCAGAACACCTGTCTTTGTATGATCTTCATGAGCCTTACCAATCTGCGTACCGACCAAATCACAGCACTGAGACGGCCCTGCTCTATGTCATGAATGAACTGCAATCTGGAATTGACAAAGGCAATGCAGCCCTCCTGGTTTTGCTAGATCTTAAGCGCAGCCTTTGACACCATCGACCACAGCAGTCTCCTGTCCCGTCTTCAAGTTGAGATCGGTATCGATGGAACTGCATTTGCTTGGTTCAAATCATTTCTGGAAAATAGGCATCAATCAATCCATCTCAACGGGGTATTTTCATCAGGGCTTAAGCTTAGATGGAAGTTCCACAAGGTTCAGTGCTTTCGGACCGGTGTTATTTACCCTCTACATTCGACAATTGGGTGAAATCATTGGAAACTATGATCTTCCGAAGCACTTCTATGCTGACGATTCCCAGATCATCAACATCTTCAGACCGGATCCTTCCTCAGCATCAGTAGCTCACACTAAGATCTGTCAGTGCTACTCAGACATTAAACATTGGATGACCGCAAATAAACTGAAAATGAATGACGAGAAAACAGAGGCACTCCTAACCGGACCTGTGAGTTGAACACGAAAAACACAGCTTGACAGCATCACAGTTGGAACAACGCCGATTCCTCTTGCCAGCTCAGCCAGGAACCTTGGAGTCACATTTGACTTCCAACTAACTATGGAGGCCCACGTCAGCAATATCTCCAGAACTTGCTTTTTCATCCTAAGGAACATCAGTTGTATCAGAAAACACCTTACCACCAGTGCTTCTGTAACCCTCATTATCTCTCTCGTCATCTCACGTCTTGATTACTGTAACTGCCTCTTGATTAACGCTCCCAAATCTCTGATCAACAGATTTCAGCATGTTCAAAACACAGCCGCAAGAATTACATCCCTTACCCCAAGACAGGCACACATCACTCCATTACTCAAATCTCTTCATTGGCTTCCTGTTCACTTCCGTATCAAGTTCAAGCTCCTGTCCCTGACCTTCCAATGTATCTCCGGATCAGCTCCAGTCTATCTCTGCAACCTTCTTCAGACATACCAGCCTGCTCAAACTCGCAGATCCGGACCAAGTCTCTCCTTGTTGTCCCAAATACAAACACTGTCCGCTACGGTCACAGATCATTTGCATATGCCGCAGCAACTGAGTGGAATAATCTGCCCCAAGAACTCAAAGACTCTCAAACGTTGTCATCCTTTAAATCCTTACTAAAAACTTTCCTCTTCTGCCAAGCTTTCCCTGACTCTTAATATCAAACCATGTTTGTGCATTTTGAGCATCCTTATGTTTGGAAATATGATCTGGGTACTGTAGGTGGGTCATTTTCTGTCACCAGCTTGAAAAGAAGATTGCAAACTGCTTCTTTTTCTTTTTTGGGTTTTCTTTTCTGTTTTTTTTTTTTCTGGGTTTTATTTTTTTCACCCGTCTGCCCCTCATCAGCACCAGTTTGGAGATGAGAAACAGAGAAAAAATGTGGATGGCCTTACAGAATGAAAAAAGTATACAGTCATAAGTAAAATGTCTTTGTGGAGACAGTCCTGAATTACCTAGTTTATGATTCCCTTGTACCTGATAAATACTCTTGACTCAACCATTACTCTCTTAATTCTGAGCAGGAATTTTGGGACCTGTGAAGATCGGATTAGAATTGATCTTCAGTAACCCATGCTTGACTAATGGGATTGGGTTGACAGGCTTGCTGGCTTTGTTGACACATGCCATCATGTCCCAGTTGCGTGAGATCGATGCTCATGCTGTTGATCACTGGATTGTCTGGTCCAGACTCTATTATTTACAGACCGGCACCATATAGCTGGAATATTGCTGAGTGCAGCGTAAAACTCACTCACTACTGAGCAGGGTTTTGATATCATGATGCTAAAGGTGAGGTGAGGTGAAATTGGGTTTTATGTCGTGCTTGAGAATATTTCACTCATATGACGACGTGCATGCGTGTATATGTCTATGTGCGGCTGCTTGTACTAGCCCAGACTTAAGCTGGTTTTATAGTGCTAGCCCACTGAGATACCATGCCACAGTGAAGCATGAATACCCCACTCAGACACATTATACTGACTCCGAGCCGACCAGTCCTTGTTGTATCCATTAATGCCGGGCGCCAGGTAGGGACCAACAAGTACCATATTTTAACGTCTTTTGGTATGACGCGGTTGGGGATCGAACCCGCGACCTTCCGCTCTCCGGGCGACGCTCTAACCACTACACCACGGAGGCGGTCCATGATGCTAAAATAGCTATCAAGTCAAACTACACTTGAGAGAGTAAACCTATGCTAATTATATGACAAATGAATGCTGCAGAAAGTTTACATTTATGATGAACATGATAGTAATGTCTTAACTGGCATCTATTTTAATGTAGTGTGTAGGTAGTTGTGTAAATTGTGACTGAGACTGTTTATGTCCAGGGCTGGAGGACTCTGCCCATGTGATTGACGAGAAGGAAGATGTGTACAGTGCTGTTCTGGGATTGGTGGATATTGTCAGGGGAACTAACTCCTTCTACAAGATCCAGGCTCTTGAAGGAGACAAAGGCTCAAGGTAATCACACCATCAGGTTTCAGTACTGGTGGTTTAACGAGTCAGCAATATGATACAGTAAGTTCAGTATCATGATAGGAATCATACCACATGCATTGTAACTGAGATAATAACCGTATCACATGCATAGTATTGTGATGGGAATCCTATTGCACATACAGTATTGTGATGGGAATCCTATCGCACATACAGTATTGTGGTGGGAATCCTATCCCACATACAGTATTGTGCTGGGAATCATATCGCACACATTGTAACTGAGATAATAACCGTATCACATGCATAGTATTGTGATGGGAATCCTATCCCACATACAGTATTGTGATGGGAATCATATCGCACACATTGTAACTGAGATAATAACCGTATCACATGCATAGTATCGCACCTATCGCACATACAGTATTGTGATGGGAATCCTATCGCACATACAGTATTGTGATGGGAATCCTATCGCACATACAGTATTGTGATGGGAATCCTATCGCACATACAGTATTGTGATGGGAATCCTATCGCACATACAGTATTGTGATGGGAATCATATCGCACACATTGTAACTGAGATAATAACCGTATCACATGCATAGTATTGTGATTGTAATCATATCGCACACATTGTAATGAGGATAGAAATCATCACATGCATAGTATCGGGATACCTATTGTATCATGACATATTTACCTAGTACTTGACCAGGTAGCAAACCATGTTAACAATTAAACTGATTGTTTTCTTGTGAGAGGACAACTTGAATCATGGATCATACTGACAGTGATTGGCTAACATGACTTCACTATTGACAAGTCAGGGCTCGATTTAGTGCTTTGTTACTTGCACTGGTGCAACCCAATATTACAAAATACAACCTAGCTATGAGTCTATCTTGCTCAAGGTGTAAGTGAATTGTTGAGAAATAAATCAACAATAAATCTAACATATGCATAAATATGCCAGCCCATGTTTCTTCTAAACTTTGAATAGCTATGGCAATGAAACATTGCTATTCATAAACACGTCTCGGCTATGACAGCTCTTGTAAACAGGGATCAGCTGTGTCTGAGTGTTGCTATGGTTTCATGGGTACTACATCACTGATTAAGGTTTATGTGCACCGAAACATTTGAACACACTACGTTGCAACTGTAATTTGGCTGGTGCAACTAGGTCTTTATCTTAGGTTGCACCTGGTGCAAGTAGGTTAACATCTCTTAAATCAAGCCCTGCAAGTCAACATGATATGGCTGACAGTAAATATGCATGAATTTTAGCTTGATCTAGATAGATCTACATTCAAAGTATTTTATGACAAAACTTTTTATTTTTCCTTATTCTGAATCATGCTAATTATGCTTGTCGCCTTCCTCTTGCAAATGATAGTGGAACACTTGAAATCCCTTGAAGTTTTTGTCAGTCTCTCCTTCTTCGCCCTTGAGGACGGTTGTGAGAGCACCTGGGTCCCTATACGGCACATATCCTTTTATACTTTCGGACCTTACATCAACATTATTGCTGTATATGGTTTTTAGGATTATATTCTACATTACGGTTGGAAATTTGATTTAAATTTTCCGTTGTTTGACATGTGTTTTCTTCATGTTTACATTTGATGAAAACTTGTATTCTTTGTGGGTACCAAGTGTCTGCGGCTGACCCTCATTAATTATGTCCTAATTGCACTGTTTCATGTTCTTTTAGCTCTCGCTGTAAGTCTTGTGTAAATTCTAATTTGGTTGAATTTAACAATTACCTTTTTTCCATCCATAGCCGTGCTAAGGACTGGGTACGTAGGTATTCACAAGTCATGTCTAAATCGAGTGATTGCGCTGATAACCGTGTGTATCCACTGCTGCAGATATTCATAATTCTAGTGAATTGCTGAAGGTTTCTCAGGAGCAGGTCGATGTACCAGGGGTGAACGCCGGAGGCCATAAGAGATCATCGTCTACTGAGCTGACCTCATCGAGATGAAGAAGGCCAAATCTTCATCTTTGCAGAAGAAGGCTACTACCATGAAGACTTTCAGCTCTACACAGAAGACGAGGTCTTTCTCAGCCGAGATTGTTCCTCCGGAAGAAGCAGATGTTTATGATGATCCACCCATCCTCATACCTGAAGTCACCATCATCAGTAAGAAGACGAAGCCTGCTTCTACAGTTACCTACTTCGGCATTGGTATCAGCGCAGACATTGACAGAAGACCTGCTATCAACGCAAACATCGAGTGCCAGAGATAGCAGCAGCGTCAACTCTTCACGAGTGCAGCAAGCCTTAGATGACGTCTCTTCAGTATCAGATGCATCATCCCTGCAGCAGTCTCTTCAGACAACGCAGAACTTCAACCCGGGACTGTTCATGCAACAGTTTACAGACCAGATGATGTCGATGATGGAACGTCGCTTCGCTCAGGAGAAGGCTGCTATGAAGACGGCTACAACGTCTACTAGCCTGCGTGAAGGCTCTACAGTCTCCCCACCACATCCGGATGAAGAAGGAAGCCTGCGCGAAGACTCACGGACACGACGAATCTTGCCCATCTGAAGTGAGGAGTTGGGACTCTGCTGCCAACGTAGATGCCCCAGAGAGTGCTGCTAAGAAGTCTCCACGCAGGAAGGAATCGAGGCGTTCTCCCCAACCCTACAGACGTCGCAGATATGAGTCATCATCTCCATCGGACTCTGACGCCCTTTAAGAGCCTGCGCGAAGGCACTCCTACAGAGGGGTAGCTATGTCCAGGAAACCGACTTCGCGAAGGCCTAGAGAATTATCTCAAACCTCCAGGAAGGATTCAAGATCGCATCGGGATCGATCGCCTGCGAGAAGCTCATCTTATAGATCATCCTATAGAGACTCAAGTTGTCGTGCATCCATAGAGCGAGAGATGTCTAAATCAGAGGATGAAGGTGAAGGCATATTCTCCGATATGAAGTTAACTCCTGGATTGCCAATGGCTTGGACTTATCATCACCTTCTAAGGACACAGATGAGGCATTTACCTACAAGATGTCCAACGATGATTTCAACACACTCACCTTTCCACCGATCGACCCGATCACACACCTTAAGTACCAGACAACCTCAGTGCAGCTTTTGATAAAGCCAGCAAGTCGCAGAGTCAGCACATCCCGACATTCAACGCCAGGAAATTCCCTCTACATAGGATGGAACCCTTCCTGAAGGCTCCAGAGGTTGATGATGACTACAAGATTATCACTGACTCCCGTCAAAGAACTTACAAGATTGAGGATAAGAAGTTAGCGCAGCTGGATACAACCACCAGACGTATTTTCTTCGGATGAGCCAGATCGAGGGCTATCAATGACACACTTATCTCGAAGTTCAAGAATTCCTCGTCAGAAGAAGACTGGATGATATACTCCGCTCTACTAATGCAGAAGAGAGACCATCAGTTTATGTCGGAGCACCTAGCATCCACATCAGCGGGCCTGACTCTCCTGAGAAGACAAGGGTTATTGTCAGCATGCACTTGGAGTGAACGCTTCACCAAGTCTTTATACAGAGCCCCATGGTCAGCATCTTACATCTTCAGAGGAGGAATTGAAGAAGTCGCCAGAGAAGTCTCTCATGACTCTAGGGAAGTTATGATGATTAAATCCATCGACACCTTGGCTAACGTGATTCGTCAGACGTCCCTGCGCTACTCAAACAAATCTAAGTTTGCAGGAGTCCAGTAGGACATACTCGTACATGAAGAAGGGTCGCATCTCCACTTGATGTGCGCATCAAGAGATGGAGTTGCAATAGATAACTAATGGAATATTAGTATATAAAAAATCCACACGAAAATGTCAGGAGAAGTTTCAGAAGAAATCTGACAAGTTGTGGTCCCCCAGACTCATCAGAGAGAAGTTGAAAGAATCTTCAACAGTGCCGTCATAAGTTCCCAGAAGGGGTAGTACAGGACATAAATCTACAACCAGTGAATCCAGAAAGTGGCTTGACCCACCACCGTTTCCGATGGATTCTGCCTGCATAATGAGCATGAGTCAGGATAAGGAAAAATATGTAATTTTCTGACTTAAATTAATATTTTATACTTATCCTGACTCATGAGGTTAGCCCTCCCAACCTCCCCTCTTATGGCAGTTTGGTTTTCCCTGTACATCCGGGTGTCGGGCTCACATACGGAGAGAAAGACAAATATGGCTGATCATGTGACCATTTGGGCGCCAAAGGGAGGAAAGGGACGCTACTCTTGGGTGAGTGATTTTATGTCCGCTTTTTTAGAAGGGAACTTCAAGGGATTTCAAATGTTCCACTATCATTTGCAAGAGGAAGGAGACAAGCATAATATTAGCATGAGTCAGGATAAGTATAAAATATCAATTTTACTCAGAAAATTACATATTTTGTTGCTAATTAAACTGTGCAGTGGTAAGTAAATTGTTTGAATGTTTCAGATGGTGGATATTCCGAGCATGGGGCCGTGTTGGGACAACAATAGGAGGGAACAAGCTGGAGAAATGTGGGTCACGAAATAAGGCTATTGAGAGTTTCAAAGCTTTGTACGCAGAGAAAACAAATAACAGCTTTGATGACCGCAAAAATTTCCAGAAATTCCCCAACAAATTTTATCCCTTGGATATTGACTATGGCCAGGTAAGTAATAGAATTTATATCATATTGTGACATTCTTATCTTTTTGCTGAAAGTTTGTTTTACCGGATATTGCTAGGATGAGTTTCGAAAATGGATTTTAATTTAGAATATATTCAGACATTAGATTATATCTTGAGATCACAGTTGTAGTGAGAAACCTTCATACAATATTCCTGTGAAGAAGTATTCAAGTAAGTTGTGTATGTAGAAGTGATTGACATCGGTTGTTTACAAAGAGTCAGTTTACAGTGTTGCAGATGCTTTTAGTTTAGATATTGAGGGATCATCTGACCGACTGTTTATCATTAGGTTGACAATTCTGATGTTTTTTGCTCCTCAAACAAGTAAAAATGGTTTCTGAACAATTTGTGAACAGTTTTTCTTTTTCCCTCCCCCTACTGTATTGTTAAAAACAACCCATATCCAATGCACACACAAACTATGTTTAAAAATAAAACATTTATTCTAAAGTGTTGACATTAACTGTGGCTCTGAAGTTTGTTCCAACAGTATTCAAATCTATTAACAATCTTCAACTTTAACATTTTATGTAAGGATAGCAAAAGACATAACTTCATACTTAATATCAAACACTGTTCTGTAATTGTGGAGTCATTCTTTATGGATTTATCAAGGAGGAAGATGCTGTGAAATCCATAGACAGAAGTTCCTCCAAGTCCAAATTGCCCAAAGAAGTTCAGGATCTCATCTGCCTCATCTTTGATGTGGAGAGCATGAAGAAGGCCATGATGGAATTCGAGGTAAGGTGCTCCATATCCTAGAATTGGTTATGGTTTCAAATCTTCTTGCAATGGCTTGTATAGCTCTTGAAAATGGATAATGTGCATAGCAAAGGCTTTGAAGTTTTGTGACCAATCCAAAACTGAAGTAAGTCCCCAGTTTGCATCATACCAAAATATGGTACTGGAGATAAGAGAAAATGCGACTGGTTGGTTTGGAGTCAGTATAATGTATCGTGTCCATGTTATCAGGAGACTGCTATAAAACCATCAAAAGTCAATACTAGTTCAGGCATCTCTTTCCACCACCCCTTCTCCTCGACCACCACAAACATCACAACATAAGTCACTTATGAAGATCCGGTTTAGAATTGGGTCTTCAGCAACCCATGCTTGTAGTAAGTGGCAACTGACGGGATCGGGTGGTCAGGCTTGCTGACTTGGTTGACACATGTCATCATATCCCAATTGTGTAGATTGATGCTGTCAATCACAGACTTGATTATTTACAGCCCGCCGCCATTTAGCTGGAATATTGCTGAGTGCGGCATTAAACAAAGAAACTATATGAGTACTATTATCCCCTCACCTCCGCTCTCAACATGATTCTAGTAAATGAACTGTTGTACATTGCTGTTACACTATTCGCTGTGAGTTATGTCCTGAAATGCTTCTTTTCAGATTGATTTGAAGAAAATGCCACTGGGAAAATTATCAAAACGACAGATTGAATCTGCATACAAAGTGCTATCAGAATTACAAAAGGTAATTGGTGTTTCCCCCTCATTCCAGGCAGCAACTTTATATTGGAGATGGTCCTGATGAACAAAAGAGAATTGTGGAAGTGGACTCAGAGTCCTGATTATTAATATGCATTGAATCCTTCATCAACAACACTGACAGTGTGGGTTTTACATGGCCTTATGAAGAGAGTCATCATAACTTACACTTTAACAGAAGAGTAAATATTTTCTGAATTTGAAAGTAATGACCAACATGATCGGACGTTTCTCCCCAAGTTTTGTTCCATATTTAAAACACATGTTGTTAATAAAGGCAAGAGAAGAAGCCAACCAGCTATCAATCGTGACCAGGGAACATACCTTCCTAGCGCTTGGGACTTATTAATTTAATTCAATCATCACTGCTGTCCTCATTGTCCTGGCCCTGTTGTCCTTGTATCTATTACTATTAGGCCTGGCTTCCATTGGTTTTCTTACCACCATTGTTACCTCATCAACTATGCCTGGATTAACAATCCCTGGGCCTAGATTTTCGAAGCTCTCTTAGAGCTAAGATAGTCGTAAGTTAATGTTAATGTATGGCACTTACGACTATCTTAGCGCTAAGAGAGCTTTGAAAATCTACACCCTGGAAAATCTACATCCATTTGTCCATCCACCAAGTTAGTGCTAATTATACCCCCCTGGCTTCTATTTGTTTTCTTATCCCTTGTTAAATTGCAACCTTTGTTACCTTAATGATGCCTGGATTAACAATCCTGGCTTCCACTTGTCCATCTACCAATTAACTACTGGTTTCCCTTGTTATCTCATAACTGTTGTTGTTTTAACATGTACATATATAGCTGTCTGTTCCTAATTGTTTCATTCACCTGATGAAGGAGTAAGAATATACTTCGAAACATTGTGTCCATCACAATAAAGAAGTTGACATCCATAAAATTCATGCCTTTATATGTATCACTTCTAAATGCCCCTCAAAGACTCTGTTTAGATTTCCTTTGCGTCAATTACCTGTGTTAGAAACTTGATTAATACACTGAGAAAAACACTGGACTGACAAGAATGATGCAGCTTGGCCATACTATTTGCTGTTAGACTTAGAATGAAGGTCTTGGTGGTTCGTACTGCTCCAATACATATGTTCTTGGCCCCATGACATCTATGTTAGCTGGTATTGATATTGAACTGTAGGCAGCACTACCCATTTTCTCTATGATGCTGTACTTACAATATTTTTCAGTTGACAGAGAAGAGTGGAACACCGACTCAGTTCCTGGATGCTTCCAACAGGTTTTACACCCTAATCCCACATGACTTTGGCATGAAGAAACCACCGCTTCTTGACACCGCAGCAGTCATCAAGGTATGTGCATAGTATACAGGAATAGCATCAGATAATGTGGACAAATATGGTATACTTATTTGGAGATAATTAGTACTTCCACACAAATAGTTTTGATTTGAATTGCAGGATATCCCAATTTACAGGTTTATTTGATAAGGATGACATGATGCTCATTGTATGAACCTGGTGTTTTAGACACGAAGAAAACTGTTGACAGTTACAGTGTTAACAAATAGCGTCTGACCCTCTGACAAATCCGGCAGATTCGGCAAAGGTCTGATAGAACTGTACAACCCGTCAGACCCAGTGTCTGACTGTATATTTCACGATGACTTTGACTGAAGTTGTTATATGTGACATGTGACATGTGACACTTGTTTGCTGTTTATAAATCTTATGTTTGTTAATAATTTCAATGCCAATTATAAGAAATGTTAAATCTGAAATGTGTGTTTAATTTTATTCTTTTGGTCCTGTGAATTTTCAATGGGTCTGACAGACATCTGAAGCTTACAGGACCCAATGTCCTGTTACTTTGAAACACCATTCGTGAACACTGCAGTTATTCAGATGAATTCTTGCAGAAACATAGATCTTTCTCTGACTGTTGACATTCATTCACGATTGTACTTTTGTTCCTTGTGCACGTTTTGGCTCTGAGTTCATGTAATTCAAATGGTGTTTGTATGTCCAAGACAGACATTGTAGGTCGTGCTTGATATATGATCACCTAACTAACTGGTTAAAGCATTCAATTAGCACACTGTAAGCCTGCTCTAGATGCCAAATACAGATGTGTGTTAGGCCCTTTTTTAGACATCCTCTGCAGTGATATCTCTTTAATATGGCTTAAACTGGTGTAGATCACCTCCGTGGTGTAGTGGTTAGAGCGTCCGCCAGGAGAGAGGAAGGTGGCGGGTGCGATCCCCGGTCGCGTCATACCAAAAGACGTTAAATATGGTACTTGTTGGTCTCTGTCTGGCGTTCGGCATTAATGGGTACAACAAGGACTGGTCGGCTCGGAGTCAGTATAATGTGTCTGAGTGGGGTATTCATGCTTAACTGCGTCATGGTATCTCAGTGGGCTAGCACTATAAAACCAGCTTAAGTCTGGGCTAGTACAAGCACACCACATACACATACACATACACATACACATACACACGCATGCACGTCATCATATGAGCAAAATATTCTCAAGTATGACGTAAAACCCAATTTCACCTCACCTTGAACTGGTGTATAACCTTGCCCTTTCTCTCACTTGATAGTGACCCAATAGACACTGCTCACAACAGGTAGGTAGAAGGTCATGGTGAAGACCATCTATCCAATTCTTAATCCATGTTGTATTTCATGTATATAACCCACATATATCTACGTTGTTCTGTAGACAAAGACGGAGATGTTGGACAACTTGTTGGAGATAGAGGTGGCCTACAGCATGCTGAAGGGAGGAGACGAGGGAGAAGACCCCATTGATGCACACTACAAGAAGCTCAAATGTGACATGAAGGTACAAGTCAGTTTCACAGTCCTATGTTGTATATTCAAGCACAAAAGTTCACTGCTTGGTAATTCAATGGCAACCTAAGATGGATCAGGTTGTTCCTCATTGACTTCCACAAAGATATCTTAACACTGAGGGGGCGGTGGAGTAGCCTAGTGGTTAAAGCGTTGGCTCGTCACGCCGCTCGGGTTGAATCCCCACATGAGTACTTTAGCCCACGTGATGTTGCTGGAAATTGCAATAGTAAAACCAAACTCAGTCAGTCAGTCTTAGCACTGAGAGGATCATAGCTCCTTACTTTAACTTAACAATAGTTGTAGTGCTACAAATGCTTTTTGAAATGGGACGAGGCATGTTGCTTAAAGTAGACATTGCTTAAATGCTTACAGCAGTATTTCACTTTGATGTAGGCATATGATAGTGTAACCCGAGAAGGCCCTGGTTAGAATATTGATCTTCAGTAACCCATGCTTGTCGTAAGAGGCGACTAACGGGATCGGTTGGTCATGCTCGCTGACTTGGTTAACACATGTCATCGGTTCCCAATTGAGCAGATCGATGCTCATGATGTTGATCACTGGATTGTCTGGTCCAGACTGAATTATTGACACACCGCCGCCATATAGCTGGAATATTGCTGAGTGCGGCATCAAAACTAAACTCACTCATATGATAGTGTAAGTGCTTTGTGGAACATGACACTTGAATTAAAATGTTGTGTTTCTTGTTTTACAGCCCTTGGATAAGAGCAATGAGATGTTCAAGAGATTGGCAGAATACACAGCCAACACCCATGCTGCCACACACAACCAGTATGACCTGGAGGTCCAAGACGTAGTAGTGACTGACCATTGATCCAACTCTGTGTAACCCGTGAAGAATTGATCTTCAGGCGACTAATCGGATCAGGTGGTCAGGCTCGCTGACTTGGTTGACCAACATGTCATTTTATCCCACTTGCGTAGATCGATGCTCATGCTGTTCATCACTGGATTGACTGGTCCAGACTTGATTATTTACAGACCGTTGCCATATAGCTAGTATTTTGCTGAGTGTAGCGTAAAACTAAACTCACTCACCCAACTCTGTGGGGTTTCCTGCCTTGTACCCACCAACCTATGCTCGTTGTAAGAGGCGACAGAATGGTGGCGGTTAGGCTGACTCTATATATTACAGAATGGGACTGGGTGATCATGCTTGGTGAAGCGATTTACTGTGTGCATTTGTTCACTGACAATGTAGATGATTACCCTAAAATCAATTTAAGTCAATCTTTTATCAAGCATAGGTTCTAACCCAAATCTTCAGAGGTTTTGGAAAGGGAAAGGGCGTTACCTTCATGATGGACAAATTGTTCAAGCTACAATTTACTACAGTTACTATAACCGACTATACATTCTCAATCTGGGTTGTGGATCAATAATCTGGTCCAAGAAATCTTTACGGTAGAATCAGATTTCTAACTTGATAATATGTGTAATCTGTGTCTATATTTTCAGATATTTGAAGTTGATCGTGAAGGAGAGTACAATCGTTACCGCCCATTTGAGGACCTGCACAATAAACAGCTGCTGTGGCACGGTTCCAGGACGACCAACTTTGCTGGCATTCTCTCACAGGGTCTCAGAATAGCTCCTCCAGAGGCTCCAGTGGTCAGTATAAAAGGGGATTCCCCATGTTAGCTATCATAAAGAAAAGCAGATAGATTGTGTGATCATGCCCCTGCAGTCAATTACAATTTTCCATGTATGGACTAGATATTTGACTGAAGTGATTAGGGATAGTTGTTTGTAGCATCAAACATTTATTTAAAGAATAGTTGTGGTAGTACTGTACACGATACAGAATATGATGTTAATGGTATACTTTCATGTATTTGATAAGAACAAATCAAACCTTTCACTGTTTAAAAAAACCCTTTTCTTGGGTTTTATGCATCTGTGATTTGGTGAAATACTTCATACCTACGTAAATTTGTATTTCCATTATTGTGATGAATATTCTTTTCATGACATGCCAAATCTTCAGTGTGTATTGTGGTAATTTAGACTGACTCTTTTTGGTTGTTTTGCAGACTGGTTACATGTTTGGGAAGGGTATCTACTTTGCTGATATGGTGTCCAAGTCCGCCAACTATTGTCGTACGTCAAAGAACGATCCCACGGGTATTCTGCTGCTGTGTGAGGTTGCTCTTGGCAACATGTGAGTAGCGTGGCAGTGCCATCTGTATTATTTTTATACAGTATTCTGGTTTATTTGTCATGGAGTTCGTGCTCATTTACTGACTATCGTCTAAAACTATGTGGAAGGATTAAGGTTATGACAAACATGCAAACCTGTCTGTAAATAGTTTGAGCCTCTGAAATGTATTCTGTTGCAGGCATGAACTGACTGGTGCAAGCTACATCGATAAGCTACCCAAGGGCAAGCACAGTACCAAAGGTAAAAAAAAATATGGTTGGAGTCCCAGATTTGTCTGAAACTGTTATACAGCTAAAATACTATGAAGCCATTTAATGTGTTAATCCACAAGAAATTGTACATGTTTACATGTTTATAAAGAGGACATTGTTGTTCATACCAGGAGACCGCCTCCGTGGTGTAGTGGTTAGAGCGTCCGCCCGGAGAGCGGAAGGTCGCAGGTTCGATCCCCTACCGCGTCATACCAAAAGACGTTAAAATATGGTACTTGTTGGTCCCTTCCTGGCGCTCGGCATTAATTGATACAACAAGGACTGGTCGGCTCGGAGTCGTATAATGTGTCTGAGTGGGTTATTCATGCTTCACTGCGGCGTGGTATCTCAGTGGGCTAGCACTATAAAACCAGCTTAAGTCTGGGCTAGTACAAGCAGCCGCACATACACATACACACGCATGTTGTCCCAGAAGAACAATTTATTCCAGCTGGTTAAAAATGTTAAAGACTTGTTAAGATCTGACTTCAAAGGTGACGTTATGAAAGAATGGAGATAATTCTGTGGATATACAACTTATTTATTTCAATGAGTGTCAATCTCTTGAAGGTCGCGCTTATTGTACCGCTTAAAAAAATATAGTCTTGGTACTCAGACACCACTGCATCATCAGAAAGTCAGGAAACCTCTTGTTTCCTTACCCATCTTAAAAGTAAAATTATATTGAAAAGATACTCTGCGGCTTGAACACAAAACCCTAGCAGTGATGTGCTGCAGTACTTTTAAAAAAACCCTAATGTTTGTAATATTCACCAGGCATCTAACCAGATATGTGATCAGATTTGCTGAATTGGTTGATGCCATCCTGTCACAATGGCATAGATCCTAGCTCATGATGTTAATCACTGGATGTTTCGGTCCTGACTTGATTAGTTGAAGACTGGCGTTTTACAGCTTGAATAATGCTTAGTGTGACAACAATCAGCAAACCAACAATATTATGTCAGATTCCTTGAACACTTCTGAAGGGAGTCTGTGATTGTAAACTTTGTTTATGTGTTATTTTAAAATATATATTTATATAATTCTATTATTTTGTTTAGGTATTGGCATGACAGCTCCTGATCCCAAGGGCTCCTACACAACTCCTAAAGGCGTGGAGATTCCCATGGGCAAGGGATGTAATGCAGACATCAAATATTCAAGTCTGCTCTACAATGAGTATCCTTTGTTAGTCCACAATAATTCAGTTGTTAAAGTTGTCATGTACTTGGGGCACTGGAGTGAAGGGGAATGCAGCATCATCGTTAAAGGTCAGGTAACAGTGCTCTATCCCTAATACAGTGAAACCTGTCTAAACCGGAACCCCACGGGACCGAAATAAAATGCCGGTTTAGGGACCGTTCATAATTTATGGCAAGGAGAAGTGATGATGATTTTTATGCAGAAGCATGTACAATGGGAATGACCCCCCGCTAAAATTTACATACAAAGTAAGTGCCCCCCTGCATATCATGTACAAAATTGCTGACACCCCCCAGTACATGTGTACAAAATTGCTGCTCCCCCACCTCCCCAGAACAAAATGGGTTACCCCCCTTAAAATCATCATCACCCTCCCTATCCATAAATTAAGAACAGTCCCTTAGACAGGGTGCCGGATTAGACAGTGATGATCATTTTCCAACATGGCTGCCATTTACACTCGTCAATCTCTTTATCTCATCGACCGCCTCCGTGGTGTAGTGGTTAGAGCGTCCGCCCGGAGAGTGGAAGGTCGCGGGTTCAATCCCCTACCGCGTCATACCAAATACGTTAAAATTTGGTATTTGTTGGTCCCTGTCTGGCGTTCGGGATTAATGGGTACAATAAGGACTGGTCGTCTCGGAATCAGTATAATGTGTCTGAGTGGGGTATTCATGCTTCACTGCGGCATTGTATCTCAGTGGGCTAGCACTATAAAACCAGCTTAAGTCTGGGCTAGTACAAGCAGCCGCACATACACATACACATGCATGCACGTCGTCATATGAGCGAAATATTCTCAAGCACGACGTAAAACCCAATTTCACCTCACCTCACCTCACCTCACCTTTATCTCATCATGACACACAAAGTGACTGACGAGTCAATAAAACCAATGCCTATTTATATACTCTCTGACACATATCACTCACTTGAAAACAGTTAATGCAAAATTTTATGCCCGTTTTGACAGTGTGCCGTATTAGACAGGTGCCAGTGTTGGCAGGTTTCTCTGTATATGTCTAGAAACTACAGATTGCTATGAGAGATCAGGATGATTATCTGTTTGCTGTCAGTACCACAGCAACGTTGGTGAGTTTCATCAAAGTGTGTGACTTCATTCTTTCTTCACACATCATACTGACACACTGTCATATGACTGAAATATGGTCCAAAGCAGCATTAAATCCACAATCTATCTTGCGTGATAACATTTTAAGTTTGAACAGCTTTATATATTTGTTTAATTTGTTTCAATAGAACGTACCAGACCCGATAATCGATGCAGGGTAGAATTCAATATAAAACAGTAAGTTGGCAGCTGCATTCTATGTTCTCCTTAACCATGCCTCAGATTCATTGTGTATGACATAGCCCAGGTTAACATCAAGTACCTGCTGAAGTTGAAGTTCAACTACAAGTGGTGAAACACTTGTGACACCTGCCATTTGTATGGTGTCACAATGTGTTTTGGGATCACTATGCATATACGTAGCTTGAACACATTCACCTGGACACCCATGATGAGAAACTGAGAATTGACAATGTGGTTTTTGCACCTCCTGTGTTCCTTACCTGTCTGCGATTAGCTGATTGTGTTCTTGCTTGAGAGCTGTCTGATTATGTCTGTGCACAAGTATGAATGTTGGTTTGTCCAAACAGTTCCATGCTTAAAATGACTGACTGAATTAGACAAAACCAAGATGCCTGGAAGCAGCGTCAGTTCTGTTTAATACAGCTTCAGTATTGTTTAATGCTGCTTCTATGACAAAGGATTTCTTTGTGTTTTTAACATCGAACTTGTTTGTTTTGTAGTTATTTTTCATGTATTGTTTTACTCAAAAACAGATGTTTTCTTGACAAGAGAATGTATCTGATGTTGTGATAAACCACCGAACAGAATAAAGCACTTGCATGTATTTGACATACTCTTGACAAAGCAATGCATGTCATGCTGCTATTTAGTGCAAGGGGCACGAGAGGCACAGTTGCTGAACAAAGTGGCATCTCTTGTGCATGCCAAATCACTGGGCTGAATTCCCATTTGTTTTTCAATCTGTCAGCATGTAGGTTTCACTGATGTGGCAATGTCTGTAGTGATTATCACTTTCCTCCTGCAAAAAACTCACCTTTTTGATGGGGCGGTGGGGTAGCCTAGTGGTTAAAGCGTTCGCGTGTCACGCCGAAGACCTGGGTTCGATTACCCACATGGGTACAATGTGTGAACCCCATTTCTGGTGTTTCCCCGCCGTGATATTGCTGGAATGTTGCTAAAAGCGGCGTAAAACCGAACTCCCTCACATTCCGTGATACAACAGAAGTACTTAAAGCTGCTCGTTCCCATGTTTGGTACAAAGTAGTTGTTGTTGACTTAAAATTATGATTTAACCTTGCCAGATTGATTTCTTGTTAAGCCTGTTTGATGACCAAAATGTCTGAATGGATATTTTCTGCCAACAGAGAACGATTTGTCATATAAACAGGCATACACAAATCTTGGCAAATATGATTCATGTCAAGCCTCTGAAAATGTTGAAATCACGCTGTGACATTTGTCTTGTCTCAAGCAATTGGAGCTGTGGGGTAGCCTAGTAGTTAAAGAGTTCCCTTGTCATTTCTGGTGTTCCCCACCGTGATATTGCTGGAATATTGCTTAAAGCGGCATAAAACTAAACTCACTCACTCACTCAAGCAGTCATGTTGTGTGATTGTCTTTATGTAATTTTGCAGTGTACACAAAACTGTTTTAGTTTGGTGAAAGGTGTAAACACACTTGCTGTAGATGTATTGTGAACCATTTTGTTAATATGAATCATACTAGTCTGCATTGGTGGTCCTCTTGTCTCAGTTGCTGCTTTTCTCTGTGCAGAGTTGTCCCGTGAGCATGTCAGAAATATGTGATTGTGGGTTTGAATCCTAGCTTTCCCTAGTAATGTTTCTCGGTTTTCCTGCACCAAACTCATGTTCATAGGTTTCTCTGTAGTAATAAGCAAGACCTGTATCCATTCCTACTTGAAACTTAGTGACTTTTTAGTTAAAAACACAAGTATGTTTTGATGATGATGTTGGCTGGCTGTGAAAACTCAGGGATGCCAGCCAAGATGTGTTTTATGCACCCAGACAGAACCCTTATTGTTATAGTTAAGTGAAATATTTTGTGCCTCGAGTTCATGATTTGCAATATGATGAAGTATGTGTTAATTGCTGTATCTACAGGAGTTAAAGTTTAATAGTGTAAGCCACTGTGGCTCACAGTATCATTTTCTTAATCATTGTTTCAGATTCAATTATTTACAGACCTCAGTCGTGTAGCTGGGATAATGCTGAATGAGGCCTAAAAAACAAACATACACCACTGACATGATGACACGTTCTATACCTATATCACATGGCATGAATATGTTTGTGATATATTTGTGTGGCAGTCCAGATCTGTCTTGTGATGGCAAATGTTATGTTGATTGATCCCTGTACATGACAGCCTAATTGTTCTTGCACAAGGAAGCAATTGGCCAACTTGATGACTTGTCTCTGTTCATGCACAAGGAAGCAATTGGTCAACCTGATGACTTGTCTCTGTTCTTGTACAAGGAAGCAATTGTCCAACCTGATGACTTGTCTTGGTTCATGCACAAGGAAGCAATTGTCCAACCTGATGACTTGTCTTGGTTCTTGCTCAAGGAAGCAGTTGGCCAATCTGATGACTTGTCTTGGTTCTTGCTCAAGGAAGCAATTGGCCAATCTGATGACTTGTCTTGGTTCTAGCTCAAGGAAGCAATTGGCCAACCTGATAACTTGTCTTGGTTCTTGTACAAGGAAGCAATTGGCCGACCTGATAACTTGTCTTGGTTCTATCTCAAGGAAGCAATTGGCCAATCTGATGACTTGTCTTGGTTCTTGTACAAGGAAGCAATTGGCCAACCTGATAACTTGTCTTGGTTCTTGTACAAGGAAGCAATTGGCCAATCTGATGACTTGTCTTGGTTGATGCACAAGGAAGCAATTGGCCAACCTGATGACTTGTCTTGGTTGATGCACAAGGAAGCAATTGGCCAACCTGATGACTTGTCTCTGTTCTTGGACAAGGAAGCAATTGGCCAACCCGATGACTTGTCTCTGTTCTTGGACAAGGAAGCAATTGGCCAACCGATGACTTGTCTTGGTTCTTGTACAAGGAAGCAATTGGCCAATCTGATGACTTGTCTTGGTTCTTGCTCAAGGAAGCAATTGGCCAATCTGATGACTTGTCTTGGTTCATGTAAGTAACTGGACGATCGGATGTCTGGATCAGGAGTGTATGACATTGTCATACTTCAGTGTCTTGTTAGTAATGAACAAGTTTTACTCTTGACTGATTTCTTTGTTTGATGAATAATGCTTAGATTAAGGAACTAAGATTGTCATTTAACGAATCAACATGTTTATTTGTCATTGACAAATATTGATACCTTAGTCTTGAGGCATTTTCCTTCTATGCCATGTTTGAACAAATAAATATGTGAAAAACTGGGAATGTGTTTTACTTTCAACTATTGTATGAATACTCACTACAAGGTAAGTGCATCGGCATGGAGTGCAGGATTGATGAATCGACCCATTTGCGTCATAATAAAAGATGTTTAAACGCGCACTTATTACCTTGCATGGCACTCTTCATTTAGCACATGAAGGGAGGATGTGCACAGTGTCCCAATTGTGTGTTGTTTAACGCCGCACCCAGCAAAGTGATCTTTAAATAATCAAGCCTGAACCAGACGATCCAGTGATCAATATCATGAGCATTGATCCACGCAGTTGAGTATGTCGTGTGTCAGCCAAGTCAGCAAGCCAGACATCTGATCCCGTTTGTCGACTTTTACGACAAGCAAGAGTTAACCAATCATGAATCTGGGTATCGCATTGTAAGTTGACCAGGGGCAGAGGGGTAGCACAGTGGTTAAAGCGTGCAATCATCTCAGGCTGTGATATTGGTGGAATATTGCTAAAAACTGCGTTAAACTAAAACACGCTCAGTAGATAGCATCCTGCAACTGACGTACAAGCTTGTCACTACATCAGTGAAATAGTATTGTACGCGAGGTTAAACCCGATTTCACCCCGCTGACACATGGCTTAAGGCTTTGATCGAACTTCGAGATCAAGGGGGACAACTCTCTGGGCTTAAGATTATCCGTATGGTTGTAAGAGGAAAGGGTGGTCAGGCTCGGTGCCTTGTTGACCCGACGTCGTGCTCTCAGCATCGATCACTAAACCATTATAACTTACAGGGCGTTGTCATGTACAGGGTATTTCTTAGTGCAGAGTTCTATTCAAACAAAATCTCTGATGTAATACTTAAACCGTGAACAAATAAACTGCAGGTACATCGTTTTTAGAGTGAGAGTGAGTGAGTTTAGTTTTACGCCGCACTCAGCAATTTTCCAGCTATATGGCGGCGGTCTGTAAATAATCGAGTCTGGACCAGACAATCCATTGATCAACAGCATGAGCATCGATCTGCGCAATTGGGAACCGATGACATGTGTCAACCAAGTCAGCGAGCCTGACCACCCGATCCCGTTAGTCGCCTCTTACGACAAGCATAGTCGCCTTTTGTGTGGGAAGCATGGGTTGCTGAAGACCTATTCTACCCCGGATCTTCACGGGTCCATCGTTTTTAGAAAAAGAAGCTTGAACAGTCAACTTACTTTATTGTAGCTGTCTGGTTGTGCAATGGTTGGTACAATCCCGGACCCTTTTAGTCTGTCACCTCTACACTCGTGGTAAGTTCCTTTTACAAATGTTTAAAGCATCGATGAACACTCATTTCCTCCATAAAAAAGCTCTAAGGCCTGCTTAACTATCTGTTTTCCTTCTTTAGCCGCAATGCAGTGCATGGTGTTTGAATTACGACGAACGTTTAAGGGAAAATGTGTATGTGAATGAAATTTTGATCCGAGTGAATGAGGTTTCATCCTCAGTGCACCACAACATCACCAAAACAGCTGAATGCATATTTTAGCCGTATGAGAGACGGAGCCGGATCTGAGCGTGATCAGTTTACGGGGCTACCATGTGTACATATTCAACAACGACCTTCTCTTATAATTTGTGCATATTGTTAGTGTGGTAAGTGGACAGCCGCCAATTTTAGGTTCAAGATTACATGTTAATGGCACATGTGAGCTACAAGGACTCAAGGGAGATAATTCAGTAAGGCTTCACAGCGAGGCCTCAGTTCGCAGCCCTGTTGGCGAAAATGGTCTGTATTGTAAACACGTACCGACCGTCACTCACAGACACCAGTAACAAACAGTAGATGCTCAATTACTTGGGGAAATCATTCTCTTGTATGGCAGGAGGAAATTGTAATGTAATTATCTCGCCGCCTCAATGATGTTCCACGGTAACTCCGTTGTTCTTCCGACCGGACTATCACGTTGCTCTTTCATCAACGATCGTATGACTTGGTCTTTTTCAGACTAAATGCCTCGAGCTACAACTTATTTTTTCCTTGGAAGGCAATCTATCATCAGAATCACATCAAAGATATAAAATTGATGGTTTGCCCTACTGTAAAATGTAGGTGACGTTGCAGTATGGATAGGATCGATCCGGGCCGGTCAAACAACTTGCTGTGCCCCTACCTAGCATCGCATTAGTGAGATGAAACAAGGACTGGCCGGCTGGGGGTGCACTGTGTGAGGGACAGCAGTGTCAACCTGGAACTATAAAACCGGCATTAATAATAATGCACCGCCATAATAGGCGGTAGGGTAACCCAGTGTTTAAAGCGTTTGCCCGTCTCACCGAAGGTCTGGGTTCTATTCCCTATATCCGTTCAACGTATGAAGCCCTTTTCTGTTGTCCCCCGCCGTGATCTTGCTGGAATATTATCAAAAAGCGGCGTAAAACCCAAATTACTAGCTCTTCTTTACCACACCGAATCTCACTCGAACGTTCTTTTGTGGCAGTGTTATTCAGTGTGTTATACTGTTCCAAGTGTAATACACTGTACCTGTTTACATTCAGTAGGGTTCAATGATATGCTCTGTATTTAGATTTGTGCTCTGGATGGTACTGCAGAGTACTACAACCTCAAAGGACCTCAGTTGGAGAATCTGGTGTGGTGCTAATGAACAAAGCTTAGTAACTGAGAATCGAACCCACAACCAGTTGGCACAGACATTTCCACACAGCCAATAATGGCGCTTCAATCAACCAGGCCACACATTCCCCTAAATGCTTAAGAACAGAATGAAATCTGTCTGAAGTTTTGTCACAAAAAGCCTGGACAGAATTGGGGTTAAAATATTGCCCAAAGCCCCCGAGTGAACCTTCCAAATTATATTGTGTAATGCTTTCCATCCAGGGGCGGTGGGGTAACCTAGTGGTTAAAGCGTTGGCTCGTCACGCCGAGGACCCGAGTTCGAATCCCCACATGGGTACAATGTGTGAAGCCAATTTCTGGTGTACCCCGCCGTGATGTTGCTGGAATATTGCTAAAAGCGGCGTAAAACCAAAACTCACTCAGTCAGTCCACCATCCACCTTCGTAGATAAACAACTCTGATCACACACTTTCCTGGAGGATAATTCATTGTTAGAGCCCGATAGAGACTGAGTGAGTCTCCGGTAATACCCAAAACAATTATTCATAATACCCTAACAGTAATATCATAAACCTGGGTCAACTGAGTCGATGTGTAGAGTTGCTTCCCTTGGGAACACCAGAATGCTATTATCCTTGGTTCGAATGCAGGTTCCTCCCGATTAGGTTTCTAGGTTTGCTAGCTCCATAACCATGCTCACGTGTTTCACCAAAGTGGATCACTTGGGACTTTTCTTCCACATGAAGCCATGGTATAACAGGAACACTGTTTGTAACGTTTGTCATTACCAGTCGCCGACTGTGAAGATCCGGGTTAGAATTGATCTTCAGAAACCCATACTTGTCATAACAGGCGACTAACGGGATCGGGTGGTCAGGCTCGCTGACTTGGTTGACACATGTCATCGTATCCCAATTGTGTAGATGGATGCTCATGCTGTTGATCACTGGATTGTTGTGTCCAGACTCGATTATTTACACACCGCCGCCATATAGCTGGAATATTGCTGAGTGTGGCGTAAAACTAAACTCACTCACTCACTCATTACCATTCGCACTCGTTTGGAACTGAGTCAAGGCGCTCTGGAAAGCTATGAAATTGAGTCCTTCACCAACAGTATTAATCAATAATGATTACATAATTCTGTTCCTAAATCATAGAAGAACTATAATATTTGCGAAACGTTTTACAAAATTAATGATTGTCAGTGGAACTGCGAGTCTAGAACTGAAGACCCTGAGATGGGTTTGGAGTATCATGTTTCTAGTGATTAAACTGCCATTCCTGATAAAACAGGACGAAGTAAAAGATTAATCGTCAATATGAAATCGATACATATTGTGTTTGGAGAAGTAAGGAGAATGATGCTGATTGTACCTCAGCAGATGTAATACATTCTGCCGTCTCAGCTGAAGATGGGGATGCGTCAAGGAAGTTCTGAAGTTCAGAGTCGTGACTTTCGAAAAGCAAAGATCGAAACTATTGTTCATGGGAACTTTGATGATCAAATGTTTAGCCCTTTGTGAGTGAATTGATGGAGCAATATGTCAGCAATATTCAGACTGGAACTCGTATCCTGTTGACAATGACGTATGAGTCAGACAAGCCAGTGGTTGAAGGTATGATCACCATCCAATGCCTACCGGGGACGATCACACACTGACACACAACTGAGTCAGTTAATTGTGTTGAACGCTGTGAGTGAGTGAGTTTGGTTTTACGCCGCTTTTAGCAATATTCCAACAATATCAGGGCGGGGGACACCAAAATGGGCTTTGTGACATTGTGCCCATGTGGGGAATCGAACCCGGGTCTTCGGCCTGACGAGCGAACACTATACCACTAGACTGCCCCACCGCCCCATTGAACACTATGTGTACAGTATTCACGTTATATGAGGGCGTGTCATTTTAGTGAAACTCACGGGCACGAGTATGGTCCTGACAAACCTAGACACATGATCGGGGCGAACAAAGAATCGAACCCAGTACCACAGGCGCATGTCCACCCCGACGTCAAAGAGCCTACCTGTCCAACCCATACCCCATTATGTACAGTTCGTCCTCCTTCAGATGGCTGAGACGTTAAATAATTCACTTCAGTAACTATCACTCTACATGCAAGATGTAGTTATATCAGGTATAGCCCAGCTTATCAACATTTGAACATGGCCCTAACGCAATAAAGGGAGACAAATCTACGAATGCTTACATTGACAATCGTACTAACGGAGAACTCGAGCCCGGACTTTTGGTCATGTGACCGAAGTCTCGCATGTCGCGAGATTTCGAATTGCTCTAGTGATGGCTGCCGTTAGACATGCCATCACGCCATTGCAACTGTCGGAAGATTAAATCCACACTTCAGTTCCAGTCCATTGTTAATTGTGATTGGTATTGATCACTGTTTTATTACGAC